TTTTTGTCGATTATTTCAATATTTTCCTTATTTAAGTACGAAATGTTGATGTAAGGTGGTCGAGCACCACGTTGTGTACTCGCAATAAAGACGCTTTACGCTTATAGTTCTAATAGATTATGATATTTATAAAAAAGAACCTTTAACAGGAACGTTCCAAAAAGTTAATTAGATATATTTGGATTGGACCTCAAATCTAAAAACAATGAAAATGCGTTACACCTGAATTTGAAATGCAAAACCAAGAAAAGAAAATTAAATACGTAGTAGTAAAACTGTGTAAGTAATTATTCTTTGTTATTCTCAAGGAAAAAATATTATGACAACAGAAAAGTCAACGTCAGGTTTTTTGGCGGGATTTCATCGAGTGCGGTTGGCGTCTTATTTTAATTATTCTTAAATTCGTTCATAGTGGATATTGTGAAATAAAATTGGTGTGGTTTTGTGTAACAACTGTCTGCGTAACTGAAGAATTAGTGGAATCATTAAAATATACGCTATTCTGGTCAAGTGGACGTGAGAATTTTATTGTAGTGTTGACTACCTCACAGAAGCTTATCGAAAAAGCCAACTCGATACATTTCGTGCCAAACACTCCAAGAAACATTGGAATGCGTCACACCGACATTCTAATGTAAAAACAAAAAGAAGATAAATTTAATTAAAGATTAGGCTGTATGGGCATTGTTCCCTTTGCCTTCCCTAAAACGGGAGAACTTCAACAAAAAAAAAAAAAGTCAACGTCATCTTGACTTTGACGTTTCATGAATAAATTTTTGTCAAAACCAACCTACAAAATTACTAGGTATTATTTTGTCAAATTAAATATAAATATTTGGCATTTACTTTAATATAATGTCTCTTGCTAGAATTGTGTGGCACCGTCCTGTGTGCAACAGTAATAAGTTCAGCAAAATAATCCGCCGATGGTATTCCCAGCATACTATAAATCTAGCAGATCCTGCAGTTCAAACTTACTTACGACAGTTAATGTTAGAACATGAGGATCTACTTATGAAATCCCGGAGAACCTTGGAAGAGGCTAGAAGACTGTATGAAATTAAGCCTATTGTCAGTGTTCTTGAGCAAAGAATTGGTCTATATGACAGTATAGAATCATTAAAAGAGCTAAACAAGAAAGAGGATAAAGATCCTGAAGTTAAGGAAATGATTAAAGAAGAAGCACAGATATATCTGAAGCGTTTAAAAGAAATTGATGGAGAATTGAGTGCAATATTATTAGCACCATGTCTTACAGACGGTGGCATATTGTTGGAAGTGACTGCTGGTGCAGGGGGACAAGAAGCCATGTTATTTGCTCGTGAACTTTTTGAAATGTATGAATCATATGCAAAATATAGAGATTGGGAAGTAGATATTGCTTCTTTGGAAGTTACAGATATAGGTGGTGTTAGAAAAGCATCAATGCTCATACAAGGCTTTGGTGTCCCTGAATTGATGAGGATGGAGGCTGGGGTGCACAGAGTTCAACGTATCCCATCTACTGAAAAAGGTGGACGCATACATACTAGTACAGTGTCTGTGGCAGTTCTTCCTCAACCTTCTGAAATTGAGCTTAATATTCCAGAGCGAGATTTAAATATTGAAACAAAGAGAGCCAGTGGTGCTGGAGGCCAACATGTCAATACAACAGACAGCGCCGTTCGAATTGTTCATATTCCAACTGGGATCACAGTTGAGTGCCAAGAAGGCAGATCACAAATTAAAAATAGAGAAATTGCCATACAGAAACTGAGAACTCTCTTGCTACAGAAGCAATATGAAGAACAGTCATCAATAATTAAAAGTGAAAGAAAATCACAGGTTTGTAAATTTCAGAATATATTAAATTTTGTTGTAGTGATAATAAAACTCTTAGGCAAGATATAATTACGACAGTGAAAGAACATAATCGCTAATACACCACTTTAGCGTTGCCTTAAAATTTACTTAATTTAAGTTTTTCATTCAATGTTAATTTTTAAGCAGCACCAAAGTGGAATATAAGAGATTTAGCTTTTCAACTGTTAATATGTATATTTCACTCTGTTTTATAACTTTAAACAATTTAACTGTATTTAATTTAAAATAATCTACTTTTAGGTAAATTTTTCTGTTCATGTTAATTGGTATATTTTTTAGGGTTCCATATCTTAATTGACATAAACGGAGAGCTTAAGGATCAATTGATTGTTTGGCTGTCACAGTCGATTTGCTTGTAATCTACTGGACCGATCAATTTGAAATTTGGTACATACATGTATGTCAGTGACCCAAACATGGATGAATAAAGTAAATAAAATTAAAATTTTGCTAACTGTACCGTGTTAATTATATCAAATGTGAAGCTCAAAAAATTTCTTTACAAATGTAAAATGTTTAATAGTTTTTTTTTAATAGTTTAGAAGTTATTTAAGAATATAGATTAAAATTGACCGCCTTATCTGCAAAACTACATCAATATATTTGAAAAAAAAAATGGAATATGGCCTTTGCTTTTTAGGTTACACGAAATCCTATAAGAAGTTTAGAGTATGCCTGATTTTGGTTTTTTTTATGTCTAATATAAACTGGCACTCTCTAATTACAGTGAGTAGCTTTGTATCAGTTTATAGTGGACTATTCTATCTACATAATTTTACTTTGAAAAGCTTAAACTACTCGTCTGATAAAGATAAGTAGCCTTCTAAAATAAGAACCTACAAATTTCCATGGAACCCTTGGTGGGTGAGTCCCACTTGCACATCTCTGTTTTTCAGATGAAATTTCAACTTTTTTTATAAATACATCTGACCTATATAATTTTTTCATATATAATTTATCAAACAAACATAAAAACTAAGCTTTATATAATTTCTATATTCCTTCAGATTGGATCAAGCAACAGAAATGAGAAGATCAGAACCTACAACTTCCCTCAAGACCGGGTCACAGAACACAGAGAAGGTGGGGGTACTCTCCACAATATTGCTGCATTCATGGAGGGAAGGGAACCTCTGGAAAAGCTGCAGGAGAGTCTCCTCAGTCAGCATAGGCATCAGACACTCATGGAGGAGATTCAAGAGTTCACCAAGAAATACCAAACAGAAACTAGTAACAAAAGTTAGTGAGTTATGTTTGTCAATTTAACTTATTTGTATATAGTTTCTTGTGTATCCCTTTGTCACTAGTTCCATTTTTAGAAGTCAATAAACAATGTTGTTGTAAATATTTCAATAAGTATTTATTTTGTACCAAACCAATGAATCACATTTCAATAGAAAGTAAATAATCCACTTCTACATTTTACAACATAAATAGGCAGAGATTCAGAATATTAAAAAGTAGTTTCTTCTTATATAATAAATATTACATCTCACACAAAGGTACATAAGAATGTTTATGAAACTTTTATTCGTTTCTAAAATTTGTAACTCATTTTCTTACTTGTCAAGATTATACACAAAATTTTAAGGACGGCAACTACATAATAAAGGCAAATAATGAAAAGACAAAAAATTTAATTTGACTGAGATTAGATGCAAACCTTCTTAAAGACACACCAAAAGCCAATTCATTTACAAAAGCTATTTTCTATTCATTTACAAAGTGTTTTTTTAGTAAACATCATTTACATAGTATTGAATAGTAAAAATGTCTCACTTTTTAAGGACATTAACAGTATTTAACATAGTATTTAATGTATGATATGAACAATGAGTAATGCCCCTATTTCTGGCACTTTGAGAATTATTATACATATAAATATGTCTTATTTTATTAAAAAATAAACAAATCTTTTAAATAAATATACTCTTTGTGATATGTAGGAATGACATGTAAAATTGCTATTAAGACTAAAGAACAATAATAAATATCTAAACTGAAATAAAATTTGAAATAAATAAACAATAATACAACAAACTTTCTTTAACTTCTCATCAAACTATTGAGCATTCCATTCGAGGCAGGAGCAACTTTTTTACAATTAACCTTTTTGTAGAAAACCTTTGTGATACAAATGCATACATGAGGAGTCTACTTTCAAAACCCGCTAAAACGGTTTTGGACTATAAAATAGTTAAGTCTTCCAAAATATTTCTGAATATTTATTATTCATATCCACGAAATATTTTGCTGCAAAATCCGCTTAATTCTATAAAAAAACAGTGATCTAAAATTCGTATTCGTTGCAAACTCCACTATAATCCACCAAAAATGCACGGACGAATCACAGCACAGGATTCAAATCACGTGAACAACTTTGTTATGTCCGTTAAAAGGTGTTGTGCAGAATGGTGCGATGATGGATGAAGGCGTAGGATCCAACACAGTACATGGCACCAATTAATAAAATTGTCTTGTTTTACAACATTGAAGTTTGCAAAGCTAGGGGGCATATTCTATATGTTTCTTCATGTGTTGTGAAAATATTATTTCTTCAAAAATTATCAAACGCACATGCATTAATTATGTTGCTTCATAAAAAAGTAGTTGATGAAGAAAATATGTGTGAGCATTATGGGGAAGAAGTTAATTTGCAAGTTTAAATGTACCTATGATTTTTTAAAAATTAATGTTTGATAAAAAAATTCCTTATTACGGGTTTGTACTAGATAGTACCAAAAAAATATTTTGACAAACCTTAACTTTAACACTGACATAAGAATATCTACACAGTGGATTATTTTAATTCATGCATGTAGGATAAAACCATCCATACCTCAAAATCTATTCAAATCAAAACCCGCCAAAATTTATAATAGTCGTTGCAAATCCCGTTATAATCAAAGGTTCTTATCAAAACCCACTAAAAACAAAATTCTTTTAGCACTTTATCCGTTAAAAACCGTGTTTTCCTTGGTAAATCATGTCAAAAGTGTTTATAAAGCACAAATTAAAAATGTACGATGCTTACTTTAATTGAACTGACCTTTTATTTAAAATGAGGAGTTTTTTTTTGCTAGCTTATATATTCCGAAAAAGATTTTAGTGGATTTTGAAAGTAGACTCCTCACATATGAATTGGGATGATACTCAAAATATTTTTAAAGGCGTTTCATTTTAGCAGCTTATGGCCTTATCATAGGTGTAACAAACTCTAAAACATTTTTATTCATTATAGGAAATAGAACCTGCTCCGCCTCTGGCCACTGTTAAACAACATCAATATTACACTTATAACATTTCTTTAAAGATATGAGTTTGATTAGTTTACATGTTGGTGACAAAGAAAATTCGGATTTCTTTTGATAATCTATCCTCTTTGCAGCCTAGGGTTATCGTAGGTAAAAGAATAATGAGAGGAGGCTTAAGGGCATCCAAACCATGGTGTTGTCTGGTAAGCTGCCGCGCCCACACATGTCGATGTTGCTTTCCTGAAAATGATACAATATTTTGTACTAAATAAAAAAAAAACACTACATTAGTGCTACAGTGATGATGATATTTAAGGATTTTTTTTAGCGCTAAGTTATTTTTTTATTGGTACACATCTTTAGCCTAATTATATGCTGCTTTGCAGCCTAAGAAATACTAGAAAGAATTCGACACGACCATTAGGGCCGCGGTAGCATAATGGTGCACCTGCCTGGATAGCGGAGGGTGCGGGTTCGAGTCCCGTCTGCTATCTGATCCGTGTGGTTTTATTTCTTAACATTTAAACATCTAGCAGTTGAAAAGTTAAAAATAAAAATATAACTAATGTGAAAGTGAGTTTCATTGTTTGTTTCGCTTTCACGCCTAAGCCACTGAACGAATTAGGATAAAATTTGGTACGCATTTTATGACCTGGATTGAGACATGGGATACTTTTTATGCCAGAAAAGTGTTAGGCTCCTGAGCTCCATGAGGAAAAGTGACAGCATTTTCTATTAAATCAGTTTATAGTAAGTATTAGAACAAAATTTGCTTCAAATGCGTTAAATTAACAAACATTGATTTGTTGACCTGTCGACAAAACGACACTTTACGTTCTATAAGTATTTTTCGCATTTTTTCACGGAGCTCTGCGGCATCTTGAGTTTTCAACGGTCCGCGCTTGACTGTGAACCAAGAAGTGCTTGAGTAATGTTTAAGCACTTCTTGATTGGGACACATTTTTAGCGCACATGGTTACCTATCGTTGGAAATTAGGCACAAGCTTCTAATATACAATATACTTATATATGTACAGTATATGTATTCTATCCGTTACCCTAGCATCCCATAACACAAGCCTTACAGTGCTTACTTTGGGGCTAGGCTAATTGGTGTGAGTGTTGGAAATATTAATTTAATTTACAGCGTCCGTTACGTAGGTAACTATGTTTTAACTAAGATGAATACTTACTTCAGTGTGATTCCTTATGCAAGAAGTAGGCTGTTTCCTATACAGGGGATGCATATGCTTCAGACAGGGCAGCGATTCATTGTATTGAACCTCCAAAGGGTCCACGGACATCACCGGACTCTCATCTTTAGGACACACGGAGTCGATCACAATCATTACCATGTTCGTGTAGTTGACCAGTTGCACGTAAAAAGGTCTTTCGCAGTCCGCAACTGGCTTATTCAGTTTGTCATCCAAATTGTTATATTCCAACTGGTAGAGATGCATCTCTCTGTCGCACGGAGTGGGTCTCGTTCTATTTATTAGGACTAATTTCTCAATGTCCCGTTCTAAATTCCTTGAAGCCGGCTTCAGCATTGGATCATCAGTCTCTTCATCGTTCTCGTAACTTTGATACGCTGTTGCATATAATATAGAATTAGAAAGTAATTGGACATTATCAAAATGCATGCACGAAAAAAAAATTCTGCGAAATTAAAAAAGGAACTGGGACTATCATGCACAACGAAAGTAGGTACTTATGTAATAGAAAAGAATCATTTTGCATAATAATACGCAAGCCAAATTTCTTTAGTAATATCGATTTTCTTTTACGTAAGGCATCCATTTTTGAAGCTGGCTTAAATCATAAATTCTGATAATATTTTACAGTCATACTATTTGAGAAATGAAGTAATTTTAGAATGACCAAGATTTTCTTAATATTTGATTTCCACCGATCGATATGATCTGAAGTGGTCAAAATTCAAAACGAAAGTTGATTCCGGCAACATTTGCAAAAACAACAACGTTTATTGAAGGAATTTTTTGACCTGCCTATGTATATTCAACTTTAACCCGTTTACACATTAAAGAGCTCCTTTTACGAATAGTTTACAAAAAGTTCTAACTTATTATGATACATAAGTATCACAGATAATATCGTTATTTTAATTCTCTTCTTATTAGCTTATTTCAAACTAAGTGCATAAATCTCTTTATTAGCTTATTTCATACTAAGTGCATTATTCAAAACTCCAAACGTATATAGTTATCCCTATTCAAATTATTTGCAAAGTCTTATTCATAAACACAACCAGGGACAGTAATAAAGCGAGAGGTCTTTATTTTATCTTGAAGTATACAAAGCATTATAATATAGAGAACAGGCCTAATCTTTATACAAACTAAACGATTCGGAATAATGCCGACTAAAATATCATCAAAATATTTTAATCCGAAATATTTTTTCTAAGTAGTTTCCATGCAAAGTACATAATAAAATTAATCAGACAAATGTGGTCAAAACATTCGCACTTTTTAAGTTTCAGAAAAAAATTTTCAAAGGAGCTCTGCCTAAAGTTTGACAACATTTGTGTTTTATTCTTATTATTTGAGTAGGTATAAAAGGAAAAAATATTAAATTGTAGAAATCCAAACAACCGGGTTATCCACATAATAAGTTTCTAATTAACATGCACACCTTTACTATCTAACACATCAGGGGTATTAAAATTGCCCTCACTATCTAAAACACGACTCTACTGTGTCCTCTATAACTTACCAGTGGGTGTAACATACTCTGAAAACAAGATGGAGTCGTTACTACTTTTATGATACACATCTACATCCAATTTAGACTCCATTGTTGAAAAATTTTGCTTTAACTAGCTAATGTCAAATGTTTTGCTTGGTGCTGTTTGTGTGGAGTAATTGCATGCCCCGTTGAACATTTAGTGGAGACATTCTAATTACATGTAAGTCTCAAAAACTTACGTGATCGTTATCTTTATATTAGGTCAATGTCGCATCATAAGTACTAAACATTCAAGCTTCTTTATGAATATCGATTTGCTTCCATGTAGCGTTCTCTTAACAACCGTTGTCATGCAAAATAGGTAGCACAATACATGCTGACAACGTTGAAGAGCAACATTGAATGCTCATTCCTCCACAACATTAGATTCCACTAAAGCTATGCGACAGTTATCGTCATTTCTTACAACATTGATTGCAACTTCGCCGGTTTAAACAGCAACTAGATGAAGCCTTTTCGTCTTACCATCGTCCAGTGAGTAACTCGATGCTTGGGCTAGCGTACTGGCTATCGAGTTGTAGAACCAAATCGATGTCGCCAAAAACCAAGACATTACCAGACGCAAATTCTCAAAGGGCTGAAATACAATACATTTTCAGGTTTTTTTTTTAATTTTAAGTACCTAAACCATTTTTTTAATAAAGTAAGCAAGTTAATTTCTCATTAAATTTATATTTGAAGTCTTCGGCTTACCGTTAGTAACATAGTAGCGGGATTAGTGGTTTTCTTTTCTCGGAAGCAGACTGCTTGGTAGTCTACTAGATGAACTGGCTTGTATACCTCTTCTTCAATCAACCTCGCCATTATGTCAGGTCGTACCTTAAAGCATAGCATATATTTCTCTGGAGTTTCGACATTTCACCATTAGAAAATAAAATTGAAGCTGTAGACATCATGTTAGGTTAATAGTTTTTCATGTCTTCTACTGAAACGTCCAATGCAATGGTTTTGTGGCGAAGTTTAATAAAAATCTCGTTTTAGTATAAGTACTCACTTTCCCAAAAAATTGTCCCGTATGTGTTGGATCTTCGCTGATGATAACCCATCCGTTGTTGTCCACCAGAAAGCAATCCCAGCTGTCGGATAGACAGGTGACACACTCCTTGTTGTGCTCGCACTGGAAAAAGTTATCAATATAATCAGAAAACATAAGTAATTCCAATAGTACCTATTCTGTTCAGTCCAATTTCAGTGCTTTGCCTTTGCTTTTGTATTTTCATTACTTACTTCTAAATGCGTTTAAAAACTACTATCTACTACATTCTTTAATCAAAATTAAACCTTATAATATTTTAAACATCACATTTTTTTAAACACACACAATTTTTTAATAATCGAGGAATAAGCTTAGACTAGTTACGCCGTGTTTTGTTCATATCACTCCAATGCCATTTATCAATAAATGAACACAGACAAAACATAGAGTAACTAGTCAAAGCTTATTCTTCGTTTATGAATAAGGGTGACAAAGTGTTTAACGAGCAAGTGTTATTTAAATGTTTGCGTTTGAAAGGTAGAATTCGCGGCGGTAGAGTACTTTGTGCTGGACTTGTGGACAGAATTTTTTGTTGTTATGTCAACACTGCTGAAATGGCATTTATAAATATAGATAGGGGAAGCTAATTTATTCACTCACCGAAAAAGTAATGTTCTCAAACCACTCGCTAACCCTCTCGTGTTCGAATTGGAATACGACTACTGCTGTTCCCGTCGGTAAGGAAACTGCGTGTAATGCGGTCAACAATGCGACGCGTACGTTCAGGAATTTGTATCAAAATTATGTAGTTATATTTTTTTAAGCATGTAACTGCTTGATGTTTAAATCTAAAGAAAATATAACTAGAAAAAAATTGTTTTTTTTCTAGTTATATTTTCTTCAAAATTATGTACTCACCGAAGAGGTGATGTTCTCGAGCCACTCGCTGAGCCTCTCTTGCTTGAACTGGTATCCAACTATAACTGCGGGTGCTTTCCTATGCCCATCCGTATGGAACACTCCACGAGACGTCGTCATCATGGCCGCGCTAAAGTTCAGGAACTTTTATTAAAATTAATAATTCACTCACCGAAGAAGTAATGTTCTCGAACCACTCGCTGAGCCTCTCATGCTTGAACTGGAATCCGACTACAGCTGCGGGTGCTTTCCTATGCCCATCCGTATGGAACACTGCACGAGACGTCGTCATCATGGCCGCGCTAAAGTTCAGAGGGAACTTGTATTAAAATTATAATTCACTCACCGAAGAAGTAATGTTCTCGAACCACTCGCTGAGCCTCTCTTGCTTGAACTGGAATCCAACTATAGGTGCGGGTGCTTTCCTATGCCCATTCTTAAGGAACACTGCACGAGACGCCGTCATCATGGCCGTGCTGAAGTTCAGAGGGAACTTTTATTAAAATTAATAATTCACTCACCGAAGAAGTAATGTTCTCGAACCACTCGCTGAGCCTCTCATGCTTGAACTGGAATCCGACTACAGCTGCGGGTGCTTTCCTATGCCCATCGGTATGAAACACAGCATGAGACGCGGTCACCATTGCCGCGCTGACGTTTAGAGGGAACTTGTCTGTGTTTAGGTCTGCGCTGTACACGTAGCTCAGCGGATCTATGTAGTGTTGTTCTACGGCGCGACGGTACCACACCTCGTCGATCGACCGAGGCCACTGTTTGCCGAATTCTTGCCTGGAACACAGATTGCTTTTATTTTCATACAAATTAGAAGAACAGTTTTTCGAATGGTCTGAAATTGTTTTTTACCTACCTATTACAAGTCCAGGGGGATAATTGTATAACTAGGTATATCTACCTATTTATTTATTGAACAGAATGGCAAAAAGCGAAATGGTCTAAAATTCGGTCTCTGGATTTCTTAGCTGTGGAGAAAAGTTGGCGAAAGTAACTCCTTGCCGTGTGTTATACATAGTACAAACAAAAACCTTTAGATAATATTAAAGCAAAGCAAAATAGTGTATAATAAATAATGAGGTAGCCGTGTATCATCAGTATCATCTTCTCCGGCAGCACCCGTTCACGAGCATGACGAACCCATCACACAAAAAAATTGACTTTACGATCTCCGTGGCGGAGTGGTTTGTACGCCGGGTTTCAAGATGTCGCCTAATCGAGAGGTGGTGGTGGCAGATGTTTGTGTAATGAATTTGCATTTGTTCTCCAGTCATGGATGTCTTATATGTCATCATTGTCATCATCATCAGCCTATTAATGTCCCCACTGCTGGGACACAGGTCTTCCCTATGGATACAATAGGGAGATCTAGTATGTATTTCTATATAAGTATACTTATGTATAAGTATATGTATTCTATCTTATACCCTAGTATCCTATAACACAAGCCCACAGTGCTTACTTTGGGGCCAGGCTACTTGGTGTGCGTGTTGGAAATATTTAATTATTATTTATTTAGGTATTAAATGGCTGTTCGTATTTGCATACAGTTAATTTGACAACTGCTTCTTTTTTTTCCATAGAACATGTTAAGGGCCCTATTTCACCAAGTCGACTTTTAAGCTTAGATTAAAACAAAAAGGGTAGATACGGTACGCTCATACTTGCATCAAACAAAAACTGATCTCTCTTTACTACATATGCAACACTCACACATCCACCTGTTTGTAAAGATACAATCGAACGAACGAAACAGCAATTTAAGTTTCAACGGCAGCGCGAACGGGACGGCGAGATCCGCGTCACTGCATTACCGGCCTGAACGAAACAGCACGTTAAGTTTCAACGGCAGCGCGAACGAGACGACGAGATCCGCGTCACTGCACTACCGACCAATCACGTGACCAGTACTCGACGACACTACCGAATAAGATTCAAAACAAACAGCATTTTTTATGAAAAAATATATTTTATAGTGCTTACGAATGAAAAGTGATGCCGTGGTTTTTATTTCTAGTGCTTGAGCAATTTGAGCACTTGTTAAAAACACACTTAGGCATTGTTTTATCATATAAACACAAAATATGAGCAATATTTCTTTTTGGGGTTCACATGTACGTCGTTTGCATGTCAAGTTGTGACTAAAGCGATTGTGGTCTTGGGCCACAATTTATGCGGATCACTTATGTGAGGCTAGTGCCGTATCTACCCTTTTTGTTTTAATCTAAGCTTTTAAGACGACATATTTGTCAAATTGTCAATATTTCTTGACATGAAATCGGTTAGATAAAGATTTACGTTACAATTGTAGTGTTTTCGTTGTTAGTTACACAATGGTGTCAATTCTGGTATGATTCTCTAAATTCAAACTAAATTTAACATCTGTCTCTCTTTTTCATTCTTGAAAGAGAATGACAAGGATAGGTACATGTCAAATTTAAGTTCATGTTTAGAGAATCATGTCAGAATCGACACTAATGGCTCTCCGCGAAAGTTTGGAAAAATGAGTTCTTATGCAGGAGAATTTATGAAGAACGAATAAATTTATCCTTTGATATCACTGAATTTGCGTTCAAAGGAAAATTTGATACAATGAATCAACCTAAAATGAACCGTTGGATTACATATGTCAGCGACATAAGTCGACTTGGTGAAACAGGGCACTGTCTTATAACTGTTGCTGTCAAATTGCAAATTTGGGCAAAAAATAATAGCTACGTAAATTGCTAGTGAGAGGTTATAAGGTATTCTTACCTATCGTCGTGATCTTTTAGAGGATGGGTCTGCCATCGCGTGAGCCCACTGTGCGTGGACAAGAATGCAACTATGTATCCGAATCTCTGGATGAATTCAGGCCTGTGAAAAAGATTTTAATCTGATGTTTGTGCACTAGATCTGATTTTATATTAAAAAAACGGTTATCTCAACGTAATCGTCAACAAAATTGAACTTAATCATAGTTTTAATCTTTTTTACTTATTTTATCCGGTACGTATATTTTTATTAAAATAATATACCATACGTTCTTTTCCTGTTTCGCTGCTTTTAGAAAAAACATTATCATAGATATGATAATTTAAGTACTTACCGTCCTTGATTGGCTTTTATTAATTAATACAACATAAAAAATCAACTTTGCCTAAGAAGAGGCAGGTGTTTATTTAAGACAAGATGAAGTTGTGTTGTACAATGTGCTCCATACTAATCAGAAGCCCACGCACGAGTTTTTGACAGCTCCGTAAAGTATCTTAATCCTCAAAATTTGTATGGTAAAAGCTAGTTTTTCTTACATCCGATAGGGGGCGCTGCTTAGTTTTTATAGAAACTTTGACGATGCGATACGTTACGGAGCTGTCAAAAATTCGTGCTAGAACCTCAGACGCGGTCTTGGATGCCATACATGGGAGTCTCAAATGGCGAGTTTGCATGTTTCATATATTGCTCGTACTACGTTTAATATTTGAAATCTGAATAGATGAGATATTTTTAAAACAATAAAATTTTCAAGTATGAAATAACTAACGCCAGGTCTCCAATGCGTGTTTTGTCCTCCTACACAATCAACAAAAACACATCAACATTCAACAAAATCGCATATACAAAACTTTGTTTCACTACACATATTTGTTTGCATCAATAAAGTTTTTGCTTTCCGAGCCCGATGGAAAACACAAATCACCCCTACGCGGGTCGACGGCAGGGTATTGTTTCATCGACCATTTTTTTTAACCAGTCGCTATCAGGAGCTGCGTTCCAAACCTACGGTCCATATGCAACTTTTCACTTGATATACTGCCCGGCGTGTGTAGAGAAACATACTTCAGAAATAAAGTTTTGTGTATGTGTTTTTATTGAACGTTTTCAAACCTTTTGCTGGAGACCCGGCTTTAATCATTTTTATGCAATGCGTAAATCAAATCAATCAGATCGAAACCAAATTTTAGATTTTTCATACAAATACAAAGTACAAAGTATTAGGTTCAAAGATATGAAAACGTTGGTTTTTTATATACTCCGTAAATAATTCTCCTCTGGGGGGCTCCTGTTGTTAAGTGTAATTGGAGTCTAGTCGTGAAGATGATGATGAGCTGATGTTACACAAAATATAACCCTCTAGCCATCCTCACTTTGTCAGCCTCAACACATTTCCCTTCCTCATAGAGTCCTGGAACCTAACTCGCCGACATGCGACAGCAACACAACACCATCAAAATGTACTAGTAGGGTTATTTCTCTACGTTGTTCTGTAAGATGGAGGTTGCTTTTCTCAGACGAACGCTCGAATACGAGCGAAAAATCACAATGCCCAGATAGGGATAAATTACATAGACAACGGTTCACACAAGAGTACAATAATTCTAATAAATAGTAAAATTTCATGTTTAACATTTGAGATTTTATCCAGATTGTGGTAGTACTTTACCTCGGCAACAATCCGATCACTTTAGTCAAGGGGCTATCCGGGCGAAACGTAACATAAAACGAATGTGCATTGTCAGTTAAATCTAATATACCGTTGTATTGTTTTAATTATGTTTAGAAGAAAAGCCATGCATTAAAAGTTACAATAAATAGAAAACTATATTTTTCTTGCTTTTTATGTACTGTTCTTTCACACATTTTCTAACACATCGGAAACTTTAGCGGAAATGTAATTATTTGCTTTTTTAATATAAAAAATAATATTTTAACAATTTTTCATTTTATGAACTTTAGAAGCTACCTACAAAAGACAAAAGAGGTTACTCTGCAAACAATAATAGATTCAGTAACATTATAAATTGTGTGAAAACATCGGAACTATATATGTAGCGGTGCACTGTTACTAGTGCAATTATTTATTTCCCATCCAATTGGTATTTTTTTAAGTAGCAATTAGGTTACAAATGAAAAATTAGCTGTGAACTTACGCCTTGTCATCCGAAGCAGAGTCTGATATGCTTTTGTTGAACCACGCCGTATTTCTGGCGTCGTATACCAGGGCCTGCATCAAACCGTGATCACCTGTAAACAATGATCATAATTAAATAATCACAGCTAAAGACTAGATAAATATCTTTAGCTCTGGAAGGAGTACTTTCATATAAGGGATATGTAAAATTGTGGCTATAAAGAAAATTTAATTAGTTTATCATATAGTAATGTTATCCCTCGTTTTTCCGAGCGAAAGGATTCGCCTCACGATTTTAGATCGTATTATAATAAGACTTATAAAACACTAGCGGCCCGCCCTCGCTTCGCTTCGGTGTAGAGCTGAAGTGTAGACTACAGTTTTTGTTCTCAGGCTTGTAATATACACAATGACATTCATCTATGATTCTTCTTATACCTGCATGCAAAGTCTCAGCCTGATCAGTTTAAAATTGACAAAGTTTCATACAAAGTTTCATTCCTTATTTTATCCCCTTGGGGGTAGAATTGATCAAAATACTTTCTTAGCGGATGCCTACGTCATAACATCTACCTGCATGCCAAATTTCAGCCCTATCCGTCCAATGCCAAACCATTGGCAAAGCTGTGCGTTGATAGATCACTATGTCAGTCAGTCACCTTTGAGTTATATATATATAGGTATTGCGTAACAAGACATAAAGAAGAGGATAAACAGCTTTTTTAATATGTAGGTACGCAGATACCGTATTAAAGCTTGATATTAGCAGCGGCTAACAAGTAAGAACAGTGGTACTTACATATTCCTACTTCCTAAAAAAGGAACTTGCAAGAAAAACATTTTATTTATTTTCAAGCTACAGGAGACAGCCAAATAAAAGTAAAAATAATTATGTATGTAAGCAAAACCCTGTTGTTGATGGTATAGCTAACACCACTCGCATAAAACTCCAATTTATCAATGCGAAGAAATTACTTGATGTTGTTGTTCACCTCAAACAGACCATCAAAGCTAAATATAAATAGCAAACAACAATGATCTTTAACCAAAAAAAAACTACAACGGTTATACTTACAGTAATACTCATTTCTAGGTGTACTGTTCGATACTTTATTTCGTTCCTTGGCATCCGGAGTACCTGCAGATTAATAAAATAATAAATAATTATTACGTATAAAAAGTGATGAACAGCATTTATCATCTTTCTGGGTTCTAAAATAGTGGTGGACGGACGCATGACAGAACTCATAAATATATTATTAAAATATCAAATTCATTGCTGCAACGATCTTAAAGCACGTAAATTGTCTTCTTCTTTACGTACCTCTCCACTAATTGTAGATAAGCTGTCAGCTCTGCGTAGTCGTCTTCACTTCGTGCTAAACAAAATAGTTCTTCCACACTGGCAATACCAGTTCTCACCACACTGTTGTTTCTGCCACGACTTCTTCCTTCTTCCAACGCGTTTTCTCTCCTCTATCTTTGCCATCATTATAGTATAGAGAAGATTTATTTCTTTATTTTATGCTTAAATGATGGCAAATGAGATAGATGATAGCGCTATGTCTTTATACGTGTATATGACCAGACTGACTATGAAAGGCTACCTTTCAACTCTTGATGGTCTTCATTTCGTTCTTAGGATTTTCGTACACATAAATAGTGGTAAGTTTTGTATTTATGATGACTTTTACAGCGTTAGTGGGTTTGGGACAGCGAGATGCTTACGGGACTACAAGCAGCCATGTCCTGTGGTTAATTTGACATTTTTTGTGTCAAAAGTGTGGCAACAAGCGTATGGCCCTCCTGATAGTAAGCGGTCACCATAGCCTAAAGATAGACGCTTGCGATACCTCAAGTATCACTCGCATCCTGACCCACTCCTCTAATCCGTGGAGCCCTGGCACCTTACTCACTGACAGAAACCCAACATCACCAAAAGGTAGTGTTATTTTACAGTAATCTTCTGTAAGGTGGAGGTTACTTCCCCGGACGGGCGCTAAAAAGAGTTCTTAATATTAATCTGATTAATAACTGCTGTACCAGCTATCTTCGCGTTTGCACTTTATCACCACTTAACATCAGTAGAGTCATTTGCCTACCTAGCTATAAAAAATAAAAAAAATGTACCGTTGTTGTGCCGTTCGTGCGCGGGCTTGTTCTTGTGGTGCTCCGGGGGCCGCGGCTTGGCGGGCCAGCGCCAGCCGGGCTTCGCAACCCGCTCCAGGAAATACAGCAACTCCTCCTCCGGGGAAGAGAACGTGCGCTCGTAGTGCCGGCAATATAACCTGTTAAATGAATTATAAAGTCATAAATACATTAAACCGGTTCGATTATGCAAGTGCTTAGCGCGTTCGGTCTGCGATCTTGGAAGATTAGAAAATTTCCATAGGGAAGGCCTGTGCCCCAGCAGTGTGTGGTGATGACGTAGACAGCAGCGCCCTCCCTGAACTGTCACTCACGTTAATAAAGATATTTGTCGTACTGTATGTGCGCGCGGAATGTAACAGAACTGAAACCTGCACACAGTTGCGCTCGCTGCTTACTTGTCAAGCGCCATATATGTATGATAAATAAAAAGCGGCCAAGTGCGAGTCAGATTCGCCATGAAGGGTTCCGTAGCAGCAAGTAACATAATATAAAACCTGCCCTCCGCGCGCTCTGCACCCGCTGCTTAAGTATGGGGAACCCCCAAATTTTATTGTTTTTTTTTTCTATTTTTGTGTGAAAAATTTAATGCGGTTCACAGAGTACATGTACTTACCAAATTTAAACAGTATAGTTCTTACAGTTTCGGAAAAAAGCGGCTGTGACGTAAAGACTGACAGACGGACGGACATGACAAATCTATGAAGGTTCCGTTTTATGCCATTTGGCTACGGAACCCTAAAAAAAACAACTCACCAGTCGGGGTGCACACTCCACTTGTTGGACAGGTACTGTCGCGCGGATATGTTCTTGGAAGTGAGCGACAGGCGGTGGATGTCGTCGGTGGGCGGCGGGGTGATGCGGTGCCGGCCGTAAGTGTCCGGGATGGTTACCACAAGAGTAAAAGGCGAGTCGCTGATACCCGTCCAGAAGTAGTGCTTCTTGTTACGGGACACGCGTTTCTGATGGTGAATAAGAGGAAAGCTGTCAACCGTAGATGAGTGAGTACACACTACACGTTAATTTGTAGTACTCAAGAAGTATGTTCTAATTATATAAATCTTAGGAATATATTACTAGAAAAATCTCCACTCGGCCAAAGTAACACCAACCAGTGCCTTTCCCTATTAGAGACAATGGACTATCTTTACTTTTGCGAAACCTTAATGAACGTGTCGAATTTTCTTTAGTAAATTTTTTTCAAAATCTGCTCTTACCATATCATCCATGTGATATTTAGTGTTCATCACTTTATTTCCCGTTTTCTGGTCTATTATTTCTTTGCGGAGCTATAAAATAGATAAAGTAAGTATTTATTCTACATGTTTATTTAAAACTTACAACACAACAAAATAACTGTTATAAACTATTTCAGGGGCCCAAGTACGAACTTTGCAAATTCATCACAGCTCCGTAATCGTATCGTCAAAGTTACGGAGCTGTCAAAGTTTGTGCTAGGGCTTCAGAGCGTTCAAATCTCAAAAAAATGTCCTTACCGCCGTTAATTCCTTGCTAAAATTTCTTGGTCCTCTGTCATCATCAAAAAGTTCAACTTCTATCATATCCACGCTATTGTAACTTGGCTTTAGAATTTGTTGAAACTGAAAATATAGTGTAATAGCTTGGTATGAATGATACTTTTTTATTTTAAATTATTGATTTGGTAATTTAAGATACAAGAATAATTAAAAGACCTACCACAGGTCTCAAATCTGGATGAATCAAAATGTATCCGTTGTTTGTTACTATGAATGCGTAACCGTTTACGCCTATCTGAAAATAAGTTAATAAATATATTGAGTGAGTTGTAGATAAAATACTAGATGTAATAAGAATACCAATAACAATCAAATTAAGAAACATATAATAATTAAATACCTTATATGGAGTCATTAAAGCTTGAATTTCTGATAGAGGAACATCAGTTCCAGCAACTCCCAGTAATCTAGCTATTCGCATCTGAAAAAGTTTGTAAACAACATTATCAATATTGTTTAAACTGCAATTCTACAATCAGAACAAAAAAAAAACACAAATAAAAATACCTTGTAATCGTTACTTCATATTAGTTAGATTAAAGTATTACTTCTATGATCTACGTAAACTAATAAATGTTTAAAAAATTTCATGACAGTTTAAAATACATGACTTAAAATATACAAGTTTATCGTTCATAAACAGTCAAGAATATGCTAACTACTCGTTCAATCATCTGGCCCTGTAACAGCCGTCGTAATACAACTAAAATTATGTATCACTTAAAATTCTCTAGCAATAATTGATATTTAGCAACTACGCCCCGTTAGGTGAAGTTCTATATGCCATATAGAACTTCATATTATAAGGTTTCTAATTTATATAATTTATTATTACAGGTTCTAGCAAAATCTACACAAAATATAACACAATTTAACCATATTAAATTAAAACTACGCTTTATATTCTAGAAACCCACTACCGTTACTGTCGTCGTTAGCCCTTAGTTATGTTTGCATCCTTGCAAGAATCTGTTGACATTTTAGTAATAAGTTAAAAGTTAATTAACAGCACTTCACGAAACCTTGTACACAAGAAATAATAATACTTTAAAATTCCCCTTAAATTCATCATTATGAACAATTTAATTATAGGCAAAACAAGCAATGGTTATAAGAGTCGGATAGACTGTCAATTATTTAAGCTTATTTAAGAACCAATTTCAACTCAATCGGATACCAATTTAATCAGTTTGTTCTTTGAAATCTGTTCCTCATTCGTCATCAAACATCCGTCACCAGCAATATGTATGTCTAAGAGATCGTGGTCCTACCTCCTTTTGGCCGTTCTCCTCTACAGACTGCGATTGGTTGTGGACGAACGAATGCAATAAAACGTAAATAACATAGATAAATGCATTGTAGTAACTTCCACTAGAAATCAAAGTGTTCTCTTCGGAAAATGTAATTACACTAGAATGTTTAGTACATCAAAAGTTCTGTCATTCTAAAGAAGATAAAACTTCAAACTGAGATGCTCAAGTAACAAAAGCCCCATACGAGTCACACGTCGGGCGGCACCATACTCTTATTAAAAATATTTACATTTACTTCTCGTAGAACAAGTCAATCTTTGAAAATGTCTCTACAAAGACATCGCTAAATTCAGGCAAATTATCTTAATTAATACAAGTGTGTGTAGTGTAATATATAGATCATAACTCTTGCATAGAAAAATTAACTTGATAATTGATAGAAAAGTTGATCATAACACCCTAGTGGTCTACGCCTACAAACTAGTAGAAAACTACGATACTACAGTAAGCCATAAGGGTAGAACAACACATGGTCAGTGGCGACCGACCAGCGCGCGCGCCGCGGCGCGGCCGGCATCTATCGAGGACAGATGCATCGCTAACGGGGCCAAATAACACTTTACCGTTACTGAAATCCAAAAAACTAAATCATAAAAACTCTCTTATCTTATCTTGCAAAAACTTTACATTAAATCATCAAAACTTTCTAAGTGTAGTACCTCTTTTGTAACTGATACCCAGTAAGCTTCATTTATCAGTACATTCTCTGTGATGTTCTGAGGGGAAACCATCAAACAAAACTGAGTAAGTATTATTAAAAAGTAATTTAAAGTTCAAGAAGAAATAGATGAAAGTTCAAATCAAATTAGAAGAGTAAGGGCTTACGTCCAATTAGAATGAAATGTAAAACCAATCTGTAAACATAATTTTCTCGAGATAGACAATAGGAAAAAAATAAAACCTATTGTATATCTTCTGAATGTTTATAGGGCATGCACAATCAGAAATTTGGAATTTAGAACAATAGATCACTTATGGGTTTTTTGAGAAAAGAAAAAATCAGAACTTTTAATAGATCATACAACAGACGTAGAGGATTTGTAAAGACTTTCTCAAAAAACTCAATTCTTATTCAATACAGAGGTATTGGGGACTCTTACAAATTGACAATATTATTTACGAGTATCGTAAGTACCTCGTTATGTCGAAGGTCGTAAACTGGCATAGATACTGACGTCATCAATTGATATTGAGAGTTTCCAAGCTCGCTATATTGACCCTGTTTCATCTGAAATTAAATATATACATTTTAGGGAACACTTATTTGAAATGATATATAAATAAAGGTACATGTGGTTACATGATACTGATTAGAAATGTTTGTAATTAGTGATTTCATTTAACATACAGATTTCCCAGGATATTTATTGAATTTTAGCTTTTTACATTTCCTGGGAAATCTAAAAACTGAACTTCTTGTTTCGGGAGTGTGTCATACTAACATTCCTCTTGAATCACACTATCTTTTACTAAGAGTTTTCAGTTTTTATTACTTGGCTGTTGCTTTAAATTCATTGCGTACCTATTTCAAAAAATATTATACACTAGTGGCCCGCCCTCGCTTCGCTTCGGTGTACAGCTGTAGTGTAGACTAAAATAACGCTTCATATAATTATAAAAAAAAAAACTGAAAATGGTATTTTTGCCTTTTTCAAACATCTATTGACATCACGTCACTCAATTGTTTTGCCTTCCCGGAACCTCTCTACTAACATTTGAAAATTATGGTATGATATTAAAGTTCAAATTGACTTTTAAGTATTATTACGAATTGTTTGTATGGGAGTATAGAAAAGTGTAGATTTTGGACTATTTCAGGCATTTTTTTTTTATTTTTCTCTGCGTAAGAACCATCTTCGTACTTTAAGGAATATTCTAAAAAAATAATTATCGAAATCCGTTTGGCTGTTCTCGAGATTTGCGCTTAGCAGCACATTCAGCGATTCATATTTATATTATAGATCTTACAGAAACGCATACGAATGATAAAGTAATGATATTAGCTATTCACTTGGGTAATCCTCCATCTGCGATCTTGTTCCTTCTCTGAATTGAAAAGTGCCTTATCTCGCCGCTGGCTCATGAAACGCTCCTTTTGTTCCGCTCGTTCTCTTTGCTCCCATAAATAGTCTGCTACTTTTGGGTCCTGCAGTCGTTATTGCATAATTAATATTAAATACACAATGTAATTCATATTATTTGTAAGATTACGTTGAGTTGTTAAAACTAAATGAATGGTAACAAAATAGCCCTTTTCCAGATTACATTATTTAACCGCATTAATTTTGCTATCAGATGCCCGCAATTTTGTATGCATGGAAAATTGATCTCACACCAAACTGTTTTCCCCTTTTGCACTTCATTCATATTAATATGTAGACAAACAAAGTACCTTTTGCAGCTATATTTTTTGTAAGAACTAAAATTAGTTAAATAAAAGAAATCTTGAAAGACTGTTTCTCACCGTAACGTTTGCATATACAGGAGTCCATACAACAGGATGCTTTTCCCTTTGGAGTACCAGGGGTCGCGCAAGGACATTCACGTGTTCTAACACGCGTTCCCGAACTTCTGCGAGCGTGCTCAGGTGTACGTAATACCCGCGGTTAGCACACGCCATCCACTTCACCTCTCTCACATCAGCCACCTACATCAATCTTAACCATATTTCAATGTTCTTCTACTAGTTGATCAGTGATAGTGCTTGTGTAAATGAGACGCGTTTTGTAATTATGTGTATTACCAACTGCCTTGTCTATAATAAAGCAGCTTTCGAAATCATAATAATAAAAACGCAACGTATTTATTGTTTGCCTCAACTAATAGGAATACGTCAAAATTATAACTTAATTACAAAGTACTAAGACAACAAATTCTTAGATCAGATACAATTACCACCACACTACTAGAAAACTCAACGTACTTCATAAGAATTTATTCTAATTGTGTACATTACAATTACAAAGCTCTATAAGCGGAAGCAAAGTAAAAGATGGAAGAAAGATTAGAAGTTTATTATAAGTCATGCATGCAGATGAATATATATTAAGAGAAGCGAGACATATAGAAAAGAGTACCACATTCAAGGTGTACTGGCAGGTCAATACGAAAGGAAGGCATTATGCAGGTCGCACAATGACTACAACACAGTAATACCTGGAGTGGTACTACCTTTACCTCACGCCCTATCAGGTACGTAAACACTCTGACGGGGGTGTCATATTTCCAGTTGTATCTCTCGAACAACTCCTTATAATTGTAAGGAACTCCGTCCGTAACCAGCATAATTGCCTACAATATAGAACATCGTATTAAGAAATAGAAGTTTCACAATGGTACTAGCTATGTTTAATCGCGTTCTATATCATTCTATATATTTCTTACTTGGTTACAATTGGCTCCACCGCTATTATTTCTGTATATTTCTAAAAGTTCAAATGCCCTTGTCAATGCAGCTGAAAAATTGGCTATCTCCATAGTGTCAAAATTATCTAAGCCTAATTTCAGTTCTCGTAAATTTCCCAAAGTAGCCTAGAACAATAAAGTAGTATTTCTTTAAAAAGTAATGATTGTTTGTCATTTTTAATATACAGGGCGTCTCACGGCTAGCTCACACGGAGGGAAAGCATATTAAATATTGAAGATAGGATATTTTAGTGGAAGAAGATATCATTTTATTTTTAATAATAACTAGAACTGAATTCACAGATTTTTTTAAAATCACCTGTAACAACTGGGAAGCAAACTCGTGAAATTTGGAAAAAAAATACAACATATTTTATGATAACTATCAATAGGATTAAAAATAATCATAAGGATTATTTTTTGCTAAATAACATAGCATTTTAAATGTAAATTTCAATCAAAATTTCACGAGTTTCAATCCCTGTCGTAACAGGCGATTTAAAAAAATCTGTGAATGCAGTTCTAGTTATTATTAAAAATAAAATGATGTCTTCTTTCAGTAAAATATCCTATCTTCAATATTTAATATAATTTCCCTCCGTGTGAGGTAGCCGTGGGACGCCCTGTATCAGTTAATTTCATATTACCTGTACTAAAGAATCTTCAAAACAGGGTACAATTTCTTCTACAGTGTCTGCGAAAGTCATTACATTCACGAAGTCATTATTACCAAGAGTATCCAAGATATTAGTGACTACATGTTTAGCAATATCTCGTCTTTGTCCGGTCATGGACCCACTACGGTCTACTAGTATAATTACATCTTTGGGACTAGCTGCTGCTTCCATGTACCAGGCTCTAGTACGACAATCATAAATATCTACAGGATCAGCTCTCCACTGCATTGCTAAAATTAATAAATTTCTTTGAAAACCTACTAACGTCCGTAATATACTTATTTCTTCTTCTTATCAAATTTTATTTACCTGGATAATGCCTCATAAAGCCAGTGGAACTACCAAAATATTGCCACGATAACGTTGGGTCACTTTGATAATTGTTAATAAAATGTGTATCCAAACCCTCGGACCAGTGTATGCTTTTGATTACTTCGGGTGCTATAATGGAATGATAGACATGAATATTGTAAAGATATTTCAACTGTGCTACCTAACTTCTACAAAAATATTATAAAATTTCTCACCCCAAGCGTAAACATTAGTTGGAATGTGGACACTACTAAAATTAATGTTTACAGGAATATTAGAAAAATGGGGATTTTGATACATATTAGCGTTTTTCGATGGTGGCCTCGAAATATAATTTTCTGCAGCAAAATCGGCTTCTGTTGTAGTTGTCATTGCATTTTCGTCAAAAGGTTCTTTCATTTCCTTGCTGTTATAGAACTGAAAATCTTCAGGAACTGGTTCATTTTGTTTATCGAAAGCCATATTTTCAGCGGCTTCGACAATTCTTTTGACAGCGCTAATTTTAAGTTCCATCATTGCACGAATATCGTCTGACATACTTTGCACCAGTTTTTCGCCATCCCTGGATTCAATTTGGGCTGATTTGAAACTCTAAAATGATGAAAAGTGGTTGGTTTTTGTTTTAATAGTAATTAATTGAGCAAGCATCTTTCAATTGATATAGTAGCTTCTATTTCTACTAAATAGTTATAATGCGTATGTATATTACTCACATCCTGGACCTCCTTTTTTCTTGTAATGAACTCGCCAAAGTGATACAACTCTGTGCCTAGTTTTACTGCCCATGCTTGTACACTAATAAAATGAAAAAAATGCTGTGAGACGACTGAATCTAGTATCATTCAGATTACGGAAATTCTGCAGAACTTTTCAATATTCTGAATCGGTTATGTTAGGATATCATTATAATAAGCAATAAAAATAAGTGTACCAATACTAGGTAGGTACATTATCCAAGTAATAGTACCTAATAGGTAACGTTGCGCATTCAAGTTCCACCTATGGTTGCCTGAGTGTTTGTAAATAATAAAAAAGGCAGATTTTATATCTCTTATAAGACAATTTATATTCTTTGTTTTTATATATTTTTGATTATAGTTTCAAAAAAACCCAACCTTGACACCGTGTAGACATAACAAAGTCCTTATCATGTTTTGAATACAAATGCACTACGATTGCTTTCGGAGCAATGGTAATGCACAATTTAAAAATTATTAAATCTAATTTTCCTCTATTTCTTCCCGTTTAATTTTACTTATCAATATTGTGCATATATATCATTATGTTTACATAATGATATTTAAAAATGTGACTTTTGTCTATTTATTAAAGTTTAGTTCCTATTTTTATGTTATAAGTTTATAACTGTTCATATTAATAACGTTATTAAGTGCCTTTAAACGCTTTTATGTTAAATAAATAGTTTTTTACTTTTGCATTTAAATCGATTATTCAATTAGACTTAAGATTAGACTAAGTAAAAGATTCTACCTACTTTAAAAAGCAATACTTACGAATTAAGCAATATCTTTCCTTCACTATGTGGACTGGCGATGCAGTCCCTGGAATCGAGGGACACCAGAAGCAACAATAGTATGGACGATCCGGCCCGCTTACACATTAGAAACACTTAATCTAATTTGGCTCGTTTCTATCTAAAACTGTCAGTGTACACAGACACGCATTCCACACTGTTTAGAGGTTTTGTTTCCAGCATTTGTGGGGTGTATAGGAATGATGATGGACGATAGACGAAGTTCTACAAATGCTTTGCGCAGGCGTAGGACGGGCGCGGGCCGAGCATGCGCACTGCTCCCCTTGCGCGGCAAGACTGCCAAATCAAATGTCCCCTTGTAAATTGTGTGCGTTAAGGTTAACTACCTGCAGATCGCATCGATTATACCCACATGACTAGGTCAGGATGCCGCGAAACATTAATATAGGTTATCTACTAATTCGCGTCAGTATGTGAACTCTTAACGGCCACATGTCTCTGAGTATTGCTGTAAGTGCATCATTGTGATTTCAAGTATTTTATTCAAGCAAGTCTGTCTTTGACTAATAAAAAATAGCAACATCAGAAATGGTGTGTAATATATTAATACGTCTTTGTAATTTAACAACTCTTTGTAAGCTTATAATCAAGCTAGCTATTAAATTTAAAAATACAATTCCAGTGAAAACAGTTTTATGCGTTCATGATTTGGTACAGGACATTAAAACACAAATATTGTGCAACAGGTTTTATTGCGAAAGTAACAAATGTACAAACGGTGTATGCTCATCACGTCCAACCAGAAAATATAAGTGCTAGAATACTGCAAACTACGAAGATGACTAGGTTCACACTCATGATGCTGCCGATACCGCACGCTGTAATGTTCTTCTCCTGTAAAACAATTATTACGATTAATCTACCATCCTAAGTTAACTGCATTCTCTCACTTAACATCGAGTGGAATAAATTATAGATTGGTATTCTTTATGAAATATTAATTAGTGGCTGCCCGCGACTTCATCCACGTTTAAAACTAGTTTCCCATATAGAGAACCCCCCCTCCCCCCTCCTTTCGCCCCTTAGAAATGATTTCTAGGATCAAAACTATCCTATATCCTTTTCCGGGACTCCAAACTATCTCTGTACTTTTCATCTTAATCGGTTAAGTGGTTTAAGTACAAAGAGGTAACAGACAGATACACTTTCGCAAATATAATATTAGTATGGATCTATTTCCCAACTCAACTCCATTCTCTTATTTAAAATGAGGTGGAATAAAATAATTTTCTAAGCCTTGTTTATAAAGTATAACTAGTTAAGTATGTAACTTATTCTTTCGCTTTCATACAGGAAGCAGTAGGTTTGGTTTTTCTAATCCTAGATAAGTTTTACATACTGCTTTGTAAAGCAGATGATTGATATTGGAAGCATTTATAGCACCTTCATCAGAATGATATCCGTACGTACCATTTATTACCTTTACTGCACCTACTATTACTACAATTCTAATCTAAGAAATAGAATTTGTCAAGAATATATCCTCACCCCTTCATGATAGGTAAAACATCCTTCCAGCCTTCGTCTTCTCAAACTCGCCAAATCTAGCTTATGACACGGTTCCTTGCTCGTCGTTGAATTCGACGTTGGCTCAGGCGTCGTATTCGGTGGGATTGTACAATTGCTGTTATATTTCACGTAAGAATTTTCCACAACCACTAACAATAAATTCGTCTCTCTTATATACACCGCCCAGTATCTCGGATGACAATCCCCTGGTTCGTCTTCGTGCACCACTATAGTTTCGCCCATAGTGTTTAAGAATAAAGATTGGTTCAATATGTATAGAATTATCTGTTGGTCACAAGAAAACGGTTTCTTTTCGTCGTCTTTTCCTGGATTTGACTCGTTCCTTGTGGGCGGTGGCAGTGTTGTCGTTGAAGGGGGTTCTGTGATGCCCAAGCTGTTTAAGTCGTAGTCTGTGAGCGAGAGCATGCGTTAATAAATAAGCGGAAACATTAGGATTTCAAGGTGAAAGTCGTGCTCGCAGCTGCGACGTCGTGCGTAGAGCATTATGTTGTTATAGGCTTTATCTACTCATTCTATATCATTGATTATTATAACTGAACTAAGTACATCGATAACGGAACACTAAATTGATTCTATATTCTTATCACTAATATTGAAAGCTTTTATTATTTTAACTTTCTCAGTTAGCTTGTTATTGTTATGAAGCGACACCGAAAGCGCATCCGTGTTATCATCGTTTGGAATTGCTGAATAATGCATGCTAATTATTTTACTGATTTTCCATAATAACAAATATATATTGCAACAAATTTGACTAAAAGTAGATTCTCTAACTTCTTTACACGGTTTCTAAAAAAAATTTAAGCCCGTTACTTTTTATTAAACTATAATTGACGGTCTATATGACGGTGAAAGACTGTAAAGAAGGAATTGACGGTATGTTCAATTCCTTCATTGCAGTCTTTAAATGCCTATGCACTCTTGGTTATCCAATAAGTAGGTATATACTAACCTTCGTTATCATAGATAACATTTGCGTAGGAGCTGAGGTTCCACCAAGATACATCCGATATTATCAAGATAAATTCAGTCAAGAGCCAGCGCATTAGATTCGTAACGACATTGAAGGGCTGAAATATGCAATAACAGATTACAATCAAAACAAATGTTATTTTCTTAAATTTATAATTTTAATATTTATGACTGCAGCAATTCATCGACTCTCTCCATAACTGCATAAATAATTTTATCTACACTTTTGTCGAAATATTTGAATTACAGGTTTAAAGATGGTTTTATAAACACACATACATGAAATTAAAAATAAAGATCGTAATAGTTATTTATGCAACTGTTGTATAATGAGGAATATTAAACACGAATGTGGGTTTGGCTGCGCCTCGTGTGATTCTTTGAAATTTATCATGCCACGCATCTATCCGTGAAAATTGTGGCTGTCTGATGAGCATTCATTCGGCTTCGCCTCGTGTAATAAACACCTCTTTCAAACAAAACCTTTCTTAAGTTACCTCCTTGGTTATTTCGGTGTAAAAGATAGTTCCATTTTTGAATTACACGACAGCTGATATGTGTTTATTGTTTTATTTCCTCGCATAATACATTGAAAAATTTTATCTATTATTAATAATAATTAATAGTTCTATTATTACCACTATTGATTATCGAAGTTCTTAACCTATTAGATCGTCTACATCTATCTAATTGTTAATTGATGACCTCCGTGGTCGAGTGGTTTGTACGCTGGGTTTCATGGTGTCGCCGACTCGAGAGGTCTCGGGTTCGAAACCCGGTGGTGGCAGATGTTTGTGTGATGAATACGAGCATTTGTACTCCAGTCATGGATGTTTCATATGTATTTCTAAATAAAAATATACTTATATATGTACAGTATATGTATTGTATCCGTTACCCTAGTATCCCATAACACAAGCCTTACAGTGCTTACTTTGGGGCTAGGCTAATTGGTGTGAGTGTTGGAAATATTTATTTATTATTTTATAATTGTATATATAGCCGACACAAAGAGCAAAAAAATTATCATTATTGCATTTGCCTTATGAACAGGCGCTATGAACTGAACAGTAACTTTCGACATCCCCATTTCACACTATGCCCTTAAACACCCTTTGAACGCGTATAACGACGTTTACGTTACATTATTCCCTGTAAAAATATTTTTTTTTGGTCAAGAAGCCTGTAAAAAATCCAAAACATCAAGAATAAAGTAAAAATTCAATAACTCGTTCGAAAAGCGATTTATTAAATAAAGTTACATGAAAACATTTATCCATTGGAATCGACTAAAAATTCTAAAAAATGAGTAACTAAGATAGCTACTTAAGGAAGATCCGTATTCATTATTCGCGGTTCACCAAGTTAACTTAAGTATATACATACTAGCTATTGCCCGCGGTGTTACCCGTGGATATTTTCCCGCAGTTAAACGTAGCCTATGTGTTAATCCAGATTGTCGGCTAACTTCATACCAAATTTCATTAAAATTGCTGCAGCCGTTTAGACGTGAAGAAGTAACAAACATACACACTCACAAACTTTCACCTTTATAATATAGTGATTCTAACTTACCGTCAATATACCCCAGGCTCTATTAGGTGGGGCTTGCAGTCTCTCATTCTTACAGAGCGCTTGATAATTAAATACTTCAACGTGATCGAACACCTTCTTGTCCAGGAAAGAGCTGAGCACATGTCCCGTATGTTCTCCCACAACTCCAAAGAATTTCCCGATCTCTTCCTTGTCCCTAGACATTACTACGTAACCGGAACTGTCTACCACATAGCAGTTGTAGCGGTCGTCTTCACAATTAAAATGCTGCGAAAATTATATTTATTGAAAACAATGGTTCTATGTGAAATTAAAATTTTATAATACAATAGGAGCTTAAACTTCTTTTCTTCACAAAACTGCTTCGCTTCTAGAATTTTGACTTATGATGTCCTAACGACATACGAATATCCTCCATACATATGATTGACAACAAAGAGAGTCAAAATTGGAGAAGAAATTACTTATCGTTTTCAGATAAACTTTCAATTTAAAAGTAACGCAAAAGAAACGTTTTAGGTCAGGTCAGGTAACATAAACGCAAAATGTTACTAAAAAAATAACGTTCCGGCAACGCTGCACCTGACTTCCAAAATATACTAGGAACCGGTCGTTTTCATGCGCACCGGATATTCTTTTTTCTTTTTATCTTATTTCCATTTTCGAGTTTAGTCGTTTTTTTTAGTAAACTTAAAAGTAAGTTAGTTTTGTAGTTTGACGCAATCTTACCTTATCAGAGGTTACTCTCGTGATTTCAATAAATCTTTCTTGAAAACTATCAAAAGAGAATTCGAATCCTACTACAGATGCCGGTGTCTCCGAATCCCCGTCCTTATAGAATATAGCGTAGCTCGCCGTCATAGTTATATCCTTGTCTTTATCCGGCACTACTTTTGGTTCTATGATCTCATCGAGGTTCGGAAGTGGAGTCGCGATGACCAGAGAAGCAGAATTGATCATGTGCTGAAGGACTGCTGCTTTGTACCACGTCTCTTCGATGGCATTGAAATATCGGTCTCCGAATGCTCTGAAAATTAAGTGTTCTATTTTATAACTTGGGTAGGTACTATACAGTAAAACTTCTTGTAACTACTTAGTTTTGATTTTATTGATAAAGAGCAATGAAGCATAATATGGCCCACCTGACGGTAAGCGGCCACCATAGCTCATAGATGCTTGCTTTAATAGATTATCACTCGTTTGCTGCCTACCCTGACCCATCCCCTTTCCCGTGGATCCAATAAATAGTACTCACTAATAGAAACACAGCAACACCAAAGTTCGTAGTTTAGTATTGTTTCACTGTGGTCTCCTGTAAGATGGAGCTGAGGCAGGAACATCTCTAGACGGGAGCTCTAATTCAAGCAGAAAATAGCGTAGTGAATTTTCTTTTTTTTTTAATCATTAAATTTCAGAATTCATATTATATCCAAATCTTGACAAACTTTGACATTCGGAAAGTAACTCTCACTGAAACTCCCTAAGTATTAATAAGTTCCTTCTTTGAAGAATTTTGGTGTGGATTGGATCCTAAATATACATATGTAGGTCAAGACACAAACGTCGACGACCTCGTTCATGTCCTCGTGGCTATGAAGCGGACGCGCAAGTTGTACTTACATCTGAGCGAAGACCTAAATGTAAAAAGAAAAGAGAGAAACTCACTCCTCAGCATAAATCTTTATTCTGTTCCCGTAGTCGACGACGACTTCGTTCAGGTCCTCGTCGAAGATATAGTGTCATATAGTGAGACCACTAGTCGTGGATATGAAACGCGATGTATTTATTGACTAAGGTGTGAATGTAAAAAGAAAAGACAGAAAACTCACTCCTCAGTGCAATTCTTCGTCCTGTTTCCGTAGTCGTCGACAACTTCGTTCATATCCTCGTCAAATATATAATGCCATCTGGTGAGACCGCTGGAAGTGGCTATGAATCTGACGCTAACATTATATTTCTGAGCGAGGGAATATTGTTCGGGTGTCGCGTCCCAACTCTGGAAGTATGGCGCTGATAGCTTCGCGTCGAACACTAACTGTTTGACCAAATCCTCGTTGCAATAATAATCGTCTTTCTGCAGTTGGGTCGTAGCGTCGCCGCAGTGCGCTTAAATAAATGAAAAGGAAAAATATTAACGCAATTTAAAATCAAAATATATAGAAAAAAAATATATTGTAAAATATTCTTGAGATTTAACATGAAGCAGTTGAATGTTTATAATTATAATACTATCAATAGTTGGGAGCGAATTTTGGCAAGACGACAAAATAATATAAGCTTACGACACTTAGAAATAGTGTACATATTATATCTTTCTTCTGATGAAAGATTTTTGCTAGGTCTAGTGCTTGGTGGGTGATAATGGACCCAGAGCGGATTGGTGGATGATAACAGACCTAGCGCGGATTGGTGGGTGATAACGGACCCAGTGCGGATTGGTCGGTGATAACGGACCCAGGGCGGATTGGTGGGTGATAATAGACCCAGTGCGAATTGGAGGGTGATAACGGACCTAGAGCGGATTGGTGGATGATAACAGACCTAGCGCGGATTGGTGGGTGATAACGGACCCAGTGCGAATTGGTCGGTGATAACGCACCCAGGGCGGATTGGTGGGTGATAATAGACCCAGTGCGAATTGGAGGGTGATAACGGACCTAGCGCGGATTGGTGGATGATAACAGACCCAGCGCTGATTCATATTCATTTTTTGCATCTTGTTGTAAACATAGGTGTTACAAGTATGGTTAGGTTGCAAACAAGAGCCCTGTAAGGGCATGGCAAAGGAGATTGCTCAAATTGGCCCAAATGCACAAAAAATATTGACATACACGGTAATTCTTAGCGTAATTTATAATTTAATTTACAGTCATTAGATTTCAACGGACACCTTTGTATAATATATTTACTTTAAAAGGGACTTTTAATTTTACCGGTTTGGAAAACATACGAATCATTTTTAATGGCTATGGGTGTAGTTACTTTCAGCCAAAAACTGAACGAAGTTGTTTATATAACATAAAAACAAATCTATTTTGTAAAGATCGATAAAATAAATCATTTTTTTTATTACACTGTGGTATTAACTATTCACTAGATGCAAATGTGCTCAGACAATTATTATAGATGGTAGGCGACATCATAAAGTCTATTGCCATACATTTTTCGCCAAACACCTCCATAAACACATTATAATCTGTATATATGTTAGACTTTAAGGTATCTATCTATGGGCCTACGTTCCCTGACTATAAATTAATAAATAAATAAAATTATAAAGTGTGATACACTGAAAATCTAAAATATGGTTACTAAAAACATAACAAAAATAATGAAGCTACTGAATATATGGCTATAGAACCTAAATCTCTTAGCTTTCTTTGGTTAACGAGAGTTTAAAAATTCTCTCTAATCTGTGGCTCATTCACAATCATCACACAGTTTCTGTCACAGAGTACCTTATTATAACCGGAAATGACACCTGATTTTAAAAGCTACTCTTATGCATTAACTTTAAAAACAGGCAACTATCTGTTAATCAACATGCTCTATATACCTGAATTTAATCCATAATTTCGGTACTTGGCTTGATTTCCCTAGTTTACTATATAACTTAATTGTTTTTTATTATTTTAATATGTTCTGTGTATATACACAACCATATGGTTTATAGAAGTTCTCAGGGGTGTCCGTCAATAATATTCGTTTCTACAGTAATTTATATATAATTTCGAATCTAGGAAACAATTTTTCATGATTATTGGTCTTTAGGCCAAACATGTATGGAAGCTGAGCAATCTCCTTTATAGACATAGAGATTGTTATTGCAATTAAATATTTTATACAAAATTAATCACATATATTAATAATATTATTTACAGATCAATAGTAACATGTAAATATAAAAGTAGCTTTGTAGTATAATTTAATATGATGGGTTTATGTTACGTTTATTTACCTAACCTATTTTTTCGTCAATATATTCGTTTACAGAATAGTAAGCCTTATTGATTAGAAATTGTTAAGATTACTATCAAATTTACTTCACTGGAGGGCTTTTGAGGAGTTAGGTAAGTGGTTATACAACTTGACTGTCATAAAGAAAGGCCCTTTTTTAATTAGGTCAAGGCCATCCTCACAGGTTAACTGACATAAGTTGTTTTCTCGGTGAGAAACGTAGCGTCGAGGAAGGTCAGTTATTCTATTAAAATAATGTGGGCTGATACGAACTAATCATCACTAACATTTACGCTCGTAAATGTACACACAAATCACTCGATTGGTGGGTGATAAAGTACCCAGTGCGGATCGGTGGTTGATAACGGACCCAGCGCGGATTGGTGGGTGATAGTGGACCCAGTGCGGATTGGAAGATGATAACGGACCCAGTGCGGATTGGTGGGTTATAACAGACCCAGCGCGGATTGGTGAGTAATAAGAGACCCAGTGCGGAATGGAGGGTGATAACAGACCCAGCACAGATTGGTGGTTTATTTTCCATCAACAAATCTTCAAGTTAAGTTTATGATTTTCAGATCATGAGGGTTAAAGAAGTTTCACTTCAGTCGTGTGGCGGTAAGCACACACGCTTTTTTTTAAATCGGTTCAGTAGATCCCGACTCGTTCCAGAGATAATTTCCTACAAACTTTAAACAATTTTTTTTGTACTTTGGATACATTGCATCAAATTCTCAAATCACATTTATGTAATAACCAGATTAAGAGTGGTGTTTCAACAGGAGTAGTTCAATAAATTATGTTATATATTATGTTGAAGTAAGAATCTTTAATTTACGATTTGACGATCGATTTATATAAGAGATGTGATACACGTGTTAGGTTAGATTAAAGTATTGTATGTTGTCGATTTCTTTCCAAATTCGAAAACTGAAACTGAAAATACAAAACATCTTCATGTTTGTATCTAGATCATTAAAATAGCACAGAACGTTTAAATGTGAAAGAAATTTACTAGAAAAAATCCACGCGGATCAGGCAGCAGACGGGACTCGAACCTGCACCCTTCGCTATCCGGGAAAATGCACTGACTATTATGCTACCGCGGCCCGCAGTGTAAGTAATCCAGAATGGCAAATAAATACCTTTACAAGTATCAAACATTTGGAAGTAGAAATTTAAGAAGCAGCTTCAGAAACTCTAGAGAAAATTGGACTCGGGCATCAGGGCGTATTTTTCTAGTAAAATTTTCTTTAGATTTAAACATCTAGCAGTTAAATGGTTAAAAAGTAAAATTATAACAGAACGAATATTTAAACGTTTTCTCATATCGTAGTCAAATTTTTAAACTTACTTTCTACATTAAAATCGCGCTCGTCTGCCTCTTCAGGATATTGTTTCTTAGTGATATCAATTTCATTGTTAGACAGGCGAACCAAAAAGGACCAAATTTCTTCTTCTGAATTATTCGATTCGTGCCCTTCTAGATAATGGTACTTGCAGTAAACCCTGAAACACAAAATTCACAAATTGTGTTCATGGTAAGACGAAAATCATTAAGAATTTTGGTATCACATTTTCTATACTTGTAAAGTCAATTATTTTGTAATCCCACCCAGAGGTCTTTGTAAATTACACTTTCTCATGAATCAAATTTACTTACCATCAAACTTATTTCTGTAGTTCATTTTCTGATTGATTCATAAACAAGGTTTTGGTTACTGTTAGACGAAATGAATTACGTATTGAACAACAATCAAAGATACCTCCTTATTGCTATTTGTTGTAATTATCTTTTTTTCCTAAAAGAAGCGCTGTGATGTTCCCACATTTCTTAAATATTTTACGTAGGTAGCCCACTATACGACAGGATTCTAGTTACATAAATTATTTGAAATAAAAACAAGTTTTATCTGTTGTACTACAACGTATTTCAGATACCTAATATAAGTTAGATTAACGGCCAGTTGCAATAATCAACTTCCAGTAAAAAGTAAGGATAGGAAATCTGGTTCCGTTTCTTATTTATTATTAATAATACAATTATTATTAAAATTAATTTCCTGGTAACAAAGCTCTAATAGGTTTATCTCTTAATAGAGTTTGATTAATGAAACTGAGCGTTAGGAGATAAAAGCACATATTTAAACGATCATCAAAAAAATAGTATAATAGAATAAAATACAATTGATAACCTAACCTAAACTTTAGGTTACCAATTGTATTTTTAGATCTTCATTTATTATTTTATTGGGAAAATTGAAATATTTTCCGTAGATAAATGATCTCACCAGTCAGGATGGACGCGGTAACTAAAACGAAAGTAGTCAGTGACGTTGATGCCAGTCAGTTCTTTGCCTTGTTTAGCCTCCAGTGGATTGTCCTTCAGCATAAGTTCCGTATCGCCGTATCCTCGAGGTAACGATATGCCCATCGAGAATGGGGTACCCTCTAATTTGTTATAGAAATAATCGTGCTTCACCCGAGCTATCCTCCTGTTAAATTACAAAAATCATGAGAATACTGTAATTTGCTGTTTTTTTAATATATAAATAAAGATCCTAACTAATGAATCCACCACATCTGAAGTTAAGTGGCAGTGGAGTCTAGACGCGAAGATAGCTGGTGCAGTATTTCACCTGTCATACAAGCCATCCTTGAATTTTTTTAGATGTGGGTACTTCAATCTGTTGGCAAGTGAAATCAATAATGATGGTACTGTAATGTTATGTCAAATTTTACATAATATCACAGCGATGAAGTTAGGGAAATATTTCTGGCGGGTAGGCAATGAAACGAAAAACCTCATGTTGTCGTAGCAGAACAATACTTTGAGATCCACCGGCATCTAGCGCAGGGTCTGGATCTCCTCGCTGGGCTGATAAGGATGATGAATGAGGACATTAATAGGCTGATGATGATGAGTAAAAACATTAATGCATCAGTGCTCCCGGGCTTCCCTTAGCTGCAAGGAAGAGGAGAAACCTCTGCCGGCGGTAACGTGGAGAATCTCAGGATTCCACGAAAACCGTTTCAGCAGAAGAGGTAGTATTCTTAGGTTTTTCGTGGGTAGGGCCCCTTCCATCCCGGGCAGCCGGTCAGGCAGTTTTAGGGATGATAGTCTTAGGTATAGTGGGGGAGGAGTCCCATATAACCACGTCTTAAACCTGGAGGCCAGATATGCGTTATGCATTTTCCTCACATAATAAAACAGCCGTAGACACCTCATCCATCATCCATCCACACCATTGTAGTATCCACCAGCATCAAGCGCAGGGTCTGGATCTTCTGGTTTGGCTGATGATGATGATGAGTGAAGATATTTATGGGCTGATGATAATGGGGCTGGTCTAGGAATGAAGCAGAGACCTCATGTTATCGTAGTGGAAGAGAACTTTAATGTCGCTCATGTTGCCGTGCTTGCCATCCACCAGCATCTGGCGCAGGGTCTGGATCTCCTCGCCGAGCACTCGTGGCCCGTTGCCGTCGTCCACTTGTTCCACTTCCACGAAGTCCACGCTGTTATAGTTCGCTTGAAGCACATCGTTGATCTGAAAGTACAGTAAGGCAATTTTATGAACTGAAATCTTCCTTCCGAGCTCGATAGCTCCAATTTTAGAAATTATTAAGTATTGTCCAAAATTGAAGATAGGTACATTGTCGTACATGGCAAAATCTCGCAATGACTGGTAAAACAGTCAGTAACAGATATTTTTGATACAGGACAGAAAGGACAATGGGCAACACACACCCAGCTCCGCTAGCAATGTTATTAGTATGAATCGATAGACCTATGAAAAACTAGCCTTTTTATTATAACACCGTAAAAAAATATCCTGGTAGTCAAAAAATATGACAAATGGGCATATTTAAGTAGCGAAATAAATTCGTTTTATAGTACCTTCATTTTATATTACTAGTAACCATAATAATATGCCTTACTTATACATCGTACTATACAACCAGATATACGACAAAGCCTGCCGACCATCCTGCGCTTGCATTTACTGAGCCACCTCAAAACTGGGGTTGAAGGACTTGCAGTTGTAAATAGTCGACTCGTCTAACTACATTGTGATTGTGCGCTCCCTGCCACTTGTTTAATTTTTATCTAACACGCTTTGGACATTACGACACGATTTTCTTATTATATATTCTCTATATATCTAATTATTTTATTTATATATAATATATATTTAATGTTTTATAGCACAGCATAGTTAAGTAGGATATTTTTTCTCTCTCTGTCTTTAGTAGCTCGCACTCTATAGCCAAAACATCCGTCTCTTACACCCATACTGGTAGACTGGTAGGGAATGCCTATGGCATTTAGTCCGCCATTTACTGTAATTTTTGGTAATGTATTAAGTATAAATAAATAAATTATCGGTTTTGTCAATTAGTATGGATGAACTGGAATCATGTTTCTGTGATTTGTGATCGCTCCGCTTTACATAGAAGACAATATACTTTAACGAACAGACTGTTTGAAAAACCCCAACCCATGCGGGGATTTTTGGATTTACTCTAGCGGCAGAATAACATAAGGGGGTACCCTTGCACCTTGTGAAAACTCCCATAATAACTGAGCCCTCTCTCTATGTAGGGTCGAACTAACTAACTAAATTAATTCCCTTGATCGTTCGTTATAATACTTGTACCTACTTAACTTAAAATAAGTAAAGACACCCGGGATGGAGTTTGATACGCTTTGGCATAGATGATCCTGCCTATAATAACTTTTAAACAAATGTAGTTTAAGCCATGGCGGGCGTGGGTGCAGCGCCCATAAATTTTTGCCCAATGTCCTTTAAGTGAATTTGTTACTGTACTCGTACATACAGTATTGATGTGCAGTTCGTATGAATAAACTTTCCGCTTCGCAAGTTAGCTTTTGGTGTGATGTCTTGACAGCTCTTTTAATTTATTGTTTCGTAATTATGTAAGTCTATATACCTACATACAACTTTAGAATTGAAAAAAAAACTTGATACTACAGTAGAATCCGTTTTTTATGACTCCGCCTATATTGACCAACCGATTATTATGACGTAATTACACTACGAAGTTTGGTTTTCATATAAAATTATTTGTAACAAAGTCGGATATAATGACTTCCCTTACAATGACATGTCGCTTATTATGACCCATTTTTGTTAAATTATATCTGGTTATAATGACCGACATGATTCTTTACACCTTCGGTAATGTTCGTTGATTCCTGACGACGTTCGGCACGTGGCTCGTTTGTTGTTTTGAATCTCGGTGAGTAATTGACACTTGAAAGTCACGCATTGTTTTTAGTGATATCCTGTGAAAAAAATGGCATCTCAACGCCCGCGCCACCGCTAACAATAGAGACTGTTATTACAATAAAATGAAAAATTAAAAGGAGAAAAAATTATAGATCACTTGCATAAAAAAAATATAGTACATCCTACATACATATATCGTATGTACTTATTACGTGCAATTTTTATTCTGATTTAATATATGTACTATGTTTCTCTATTAAAATACATGTACTTATATTTACATATTTTTTCACAAAACGCTTTGTATGACGTCCGCTTATTATGACGTGTTTGTCAATTCCCTTCAATGTCATTAGAAACGGATTTCACTGTAATTATAAAATACGGCAGTAATTATTGTAAAATTAAATTAAAAAGAAACAACCAACCCTTTTTATTTTAAGAATATTTTTAACCTCGTACTAAAATTTAAAATGAATAAGTAATAAGAAATGTCAATGAAAATAAAATCAATAAGATCAGTTTCAAATACTCACTGTTGTTATTAATAGCGGATGTAATAGCAAATATCCGTTGTTGCTCACGATGAAAGAATACCCATTCACACCGAGCTGAAAACATTAAATTAAACTCTTTGTTACGCTACAACTTTATAATTGGACAAATTCTAAGAAAGGACATTTAATTGAAATCTAAGTAAGTAAATTGTTTCCGAAGTCAATAAAACATTAGAGTTTATGCTACACTTTCCTCGGAATTACAAGATAATTTCACTTTGCTAATAATTTAACTTAATTGACGGCTATCTGAGCCCATCCCAGCGGGTAGATAATGATTTAAACGGATTATTATCTATCCGTTTTACTCAGTTACATAAAAGTGACCTGAATCAGTTTTTGTATCTTAAATATCTCAAACGAAAGAATCAAATTGAGAGATTGTATTACGTGGACTCCTGATTTGTGATTTTAAATTTTAAATTGGTCACTGAAATTTCATGGAATTGGTTATACCAATTTTCCATTTTAATTTTGTAAGTATGGGACTATTTATCCTTATAAATTTTCCAATATTCCCGAGATTAGAAAACACACACTAACAATCTGAAAACACGTACGAGTAATAATCTGCCCTGGCAGAGATTTAATCTATAAAAACTAGGAATATGGTTTTTTTTGTGAAGGTAGGCTAAGTAGTGTTGTAGGTGAAGATAAACTAGGATGTTATCGGTATCGATACGAATGATTTTTTTCAGATTAGAGTGACCGTAATTTTAACCTAACTTAATATCCGATCTTGACGAAACTTTTAAATAAATAAGTATTGTAAAAACAATATGCTTTTTATTTTAAATTATAATTAATTTAATCAAGAGTGCGGCGCTAACGTACTTATTGATATAAATACGCGAAGGAACCACTTTTGTTCGCCTTTTTACAAGACTGCTGAAAGAATTGTAATGTTTTCAGAGTTCTTCTATATGAGTTTCTTTATGACACCACAATTTATAAATAATTGAACAAACTTTTATATTATTAGTATGTAGCCTATATGTTGACCTGACTTCTTAATAATATTCGTGACAAAGAATTTTATCCATGCAGTACTTATTGAGTTTATCCTGGACATAAAAACAAATAAAAATTCTACAAACTATATTTGGCTTCGGTATCGATTGTAGATGACACCCCAAGTATTCTTTTAAAAAAATATTTTATAGTTATGATTTTATTTATTTTTTAAGCATTTAACTGCTAGATGTTTAAATCTAAAGAAAAGTTTACTAGAAAAAACATTACAACATAGACATTGTGGGTTACCTACAATGCGAAGAGATGACGCTGCCTTGCAGTTTAAGGCTAGGAAAATTTCGACGCGGCTAATAGGGCGGCTAATAGCATAATGGTCAGTGCATTCGCCCGGATAGCGAAGGATGCGGGTTCGAGTCCCGTCCGCTGCCTGGTCCGCGTGGAAAATATTTTATGTATAGTTTTGACTGTCCTACTGCTCTTAGCTCTAGGTATAGTTAGTCACCTGGTGAGGTTGTGCCAATTTAGCAATGCTGTCTATGGGCACGTCGGTGCCCGCCACTCCGAGTAGCATGGCGTCGTTGTGATCCACGTTGTACTTGAGGTCGAACGCGGGAATCGCCACTGATGTCACTAGTTTGTCTTCGTCGGGCTGTTAAAAAGTCACGGTCTTACTACAAAAAAGTTAGACACGGTTTTATACCTTGTTGAGGCAAATTTTGTATGCCATTTTTTTTAATTAAGACGAGTTCGTCTTGAACATAAGTGTTAATAAGGTCAAAGTTTAGTAAGTAACTATATTTTTGAGTGACTGTCTCACTTAATAGGTGTTATACTTATATTGATACAACTTGAGTAAAAGCGTCGGTAAGATGTTATTACCAGGTAAGTAATCAAATATAATTAATAAAAAAGATAATTGATAAAATATAAGTTTATTTTTGAATTTTAACCTTCCGAACATTTTCATGATGTAAACATAATAAACTATACTTACTAGAAATTAGCGGTAAGGATTACTTTGTAAATTATGTTTGAAATAAAAAATATTTGGAAAATTTTGGATAAGTATCTACTTTACTTTTAGAAGAAATTAAGAATGAATTTGACTTGTTAAATGACACAAAACCTTGAAAAAACTAATCAAAGGCACCGAACCTTTCTGTTTACTATTATTTATGTTACTTGAGAACATGTTTCAATTTAAGTGCCTAGACAAGACGAGATAGTGGAATAACAAATCTTCCTTCATATCTCAAAGGCACGTCTTACCTTTGATCGCAGGTGTTACGCTATTAAGGTAGTTGTTATTCAAATCCGTAGCTTCAGAGGGTTTCAGTAATGAACTATAACCCGACCCTTTTACGTAATTATGCAATGCGTAACATACCTGTGATACAGATACATATCAGTAACTACTTAGATAGATACTTTTCTTGTGAATGCAGTTTTACAACAAGACTCACAATGGACTCGTGACTTATTATAAGATTCATTAAAAAGTTTGACATGGTCATAAATTGTTTAAAACTTTAATGGTCACTTACATTCTAGCTATTAACGGGATTGTTACCATGCACCTTGTTTTTTATGAGTCTCCGATATTTCGGCACTATTATTTATTATTAGTAGTTACTCCGTGATCATGGCGCTTGCAACAATGCCAAAATAGCGGAGACTCATAAAAAACAAGGTGCATGGTAACAAACAAGGTACAATCCCGTTAAAAGCTATAATAGATATATTGCTTATAAAGTTTTTAAGATTGCTTCGCTTACCTTCTTCGCATCACTGCTCACCCCCCACAAAGAAGTTCGCTGCAAAGTAAAATAGCTCATAAATCACACGCGATGCATAAGTATATTAGGAAAAAACAGCAACTATTTATCTGGGCGTAAGGATATTACTTAGCATCTTAAGAGAATATTCAGCGTAGTTTTATCCCCACCATCACCCTATTAATGTCCCCACTGCAGGGCCCAGCGCGGATTGTCGGCTGCTAACGACTGCAGAAGCAGCAGGGACCAACTGCTTAACGTGCCTTCCGAATCACGGAGGAAGTCGAGATGGTAAGTTTTTGGTCATCCTCCAATGCCCGGCCATTGCTAAAGTTGATTAAATTTCACGATCGTAGACTGAATGCGCTTAGTACCTTCGCCATCGAGCTCCTAGTTTTATAGCATATTTGAAGTAGTTCTTAAACTTTGAACTATTAAACAAAATGCATTGTATATTAAAGGTGTAGGTTATTAATACATCATATTTATAATATTCGTGATAGCGCCATTAGTTTCATATGTGCCACTCACAACATGCCATGCCATTCACGCACCCAGGTTATAAATTACATGAAATACGGGGGCGCAGTGTTGATACAAAGAACCGTCATTTATATGATACACGGGGACCGGGCGCGTTTCTTTCTGACATGGCTCCGTTGAATTGAATGTGGCAATTCCGGAAGGGCTGTGGTCCCTATGTCAGTCCATATTTTCATATAATGTGCTGAGATATTGTGCTATATAACAAGTAACAATTTACGAATCTAGAAAGATAATAATTTTAACTGTAAGTTACAGCTCATAACTAGGTATCTAAATCAATGTTTTTTATATAATATGAAATTATGGAATTGTAAAGTTATTCAAATGTCAAGTCAAGTCAAAATAGGTAGGTACTTATGTAATTACTATAACATAAATTAACGTAGAAGAAATTGTGGAATAGGAAATTCTCATTCTCAATGTTACTTATTATAAGTTTGCACTTAATAGAAACTTTGTTATTCTTAAAGTTTATATTTCTCCTACATCTGGAGCCACATAAATAGCCTGATATTACGGAACAAAGGGGCGTCTATCATTACTCAGTGGGTGCCTCCGCTTAATTGCTGTCGTCAGCTCAAACTGAGTACTGACTTGAAAGGGACATATTTCTTCTAAACGAAACGAGATTATTTTACCTTTTCTTTCTTCTTTTAGCATCAACTGCAGGGAACACAAAGAGATTGATATAGAAAAGTCATTTTAAGAAAAAACCGAATTTGAATAACCGTCCTTCTTACGTGCCTTCTTATCAATAAACAGAATTATGTTGCACTATGTAGTGAAGCAGTGTTTTGTTTACATTATCTATTCAAATTGATACAAATGACAAAATAGGTAGCCTATAGGTTTAATAATAATAATATATAATAATAATAAATACTAATTCAATATCCATTATTACATATAACAAGACTTCAATCTAAAAAATACAAAAAGTTAAGAATAACTACATAGTATTGTTTTGTGTTTCAGGAGAAAAGATCTACTTTAATATAAATCTACTTTAAAAATCAATAGCGCAATCAAAAAGGCAATAACAAAAAACGAATATACTTAATCTAATTTCAACGTTCTAATAAATATGATATACTTAATCAAAATTTATTTAAAAAAGGTCATCAAGTTGTCTAATTATTCATATGGCAACATTTGAAGGGTTTCTTGTAGGATTGTTTTATTGGGTTTTAATATATATTCAGCGGATAAATGTTTAGTTTTAAATTCAAGCGGTTGTACAAAAATGGACATTGAAAAAGGTAAAATCTAGAAGAGAACGCATGTTTAGTAAATATTGTTTGAGGGCAAGCTTTGTACTTTCGTCTTTTTAGTAATATTAGGATTGTGTGGGATTGCGGCATGCTGCTTAATTATTGTGTGCATTATATACATTTGTCTAACTGTTAGTACCTTGCAAGATTTATAAAGGAGATCCGTGGGATAGAGAAATAAACAACCTTTAGAATGGCTCGTTGGGCTCTCTCAAGAGTTAGTAATAGGGTTTTAAAAGTAGCACCGTTTCAGTTTAAAATATTTATGACGTTTTCAGACCGTGATTTTTTTATTTTCAAATGTATTATCCAGGTAACGGAGTAGTATTAAACTGACAAACCGAGTTAATAGAATATGCTATCTTTAAATAGAAAAACTGTTTTTGACGTGACAACGTCTTAAATTAGGTTGCGGCTGGGAGTCACTTATGAAAAAGTGTAACGCTCGGTAACGTTACGATGAGTCTCTCGTGTTAAGTTTAAGTTTACATGTACAATGTTTTAGTAAACAAAATATATTTCTATAGTTAAAATTTGTGCAATTCTTATTTTCATTCAATTCCTTGTTCCTATTGTGCAATTTAATTATATTCATATCAATAAATATTCTACCGAGAAAAAGACGTTGTCACGTAAAATCTTCGCCCGTAAAACCGACTTTACAGGCAACCATTTTTTTTTTCATTTTAACAGTAAGTGTTCATAAAGAACACTGATTCATTTTTCCAAAATTGCTTATTTGGAAAATTACATTTAAATAAATAAACATTTAGCAAAAACTTCAGAAGCAGCTTCATAAATTACGAAAAAAAGCTCCTAGAAAGAATATTATCTAAACCTTACTGCAACATAAACCGCAGGTAACTAACAAGTATCATTTTCATTAAGAATTTTGTAATTAATATGTTGAACAATAAATATACTTATTTATAACCATTATAAATGTATTTTAATGGTGTCTGGCGCGTCACGTTATTATAGGCTGTCACTCATAAGAAGATGCCTACGTACAAGGTAGCGACTGAAGGAACTTATAATGTAATTTTATCCTATACCAAATAAAATGCCGTAATGGTTAAGCTTCGTAATGTATGTAGGTATACCTACCTATTCCTTACCCGTAATTCATAATGTACCCGAGGATGTGATTTTCTTATTTGAAAGCGCAGAGCTTTTATTTTAAATGAGAAACATCAGTTTTAGTTGGTTTTGTGAGATATATTTCGGTTTTCTTTTCCTTTGTCTTTACATACATTGTTATTCTCGAGAATTCGTATATTATAATACCAGTGCCTCGCCCACGTATAAGCAACTTTTGGTTTTGGGCTTGTATTACACATGTAAACCTTTCGTAAAAAATGTGACTAATGATAAAAACTGTCCTCCCAAATACATATAGGGAACTATGTTTTACAGAATGTAAGGGCTTAGACCATCGCTTTTATTTTCGTGTTGAGCTTTAAATAAACTCATATTACGTGTGTTCAGTTCAATGATTTTATATGTACATATCAGAACTTTACATTTAGCTTAAACAGTGGTGGCAGACATTATTGTGTGAACTACAAGTCATGGATACATCAAAAAACCAGTATCACCTCATTTCAGTATCCCTACTTCCCCACCATATTTTGTACCGCTTAGATTAAAGTTGTTTGTAAATAAATAATAGGACTTTGACGACCCATCGTCTACATTTTTCACCCAAACTGCCGGGTTCGTAGACGACAATAACAAATTGCTGGAACATGTTTCTTTACTTTAAGTTATTCGTCTGAATCCAAGTCAACGGTTGGGTTTTAAAAAGACATCAAGTGAATTAACCCCACCTACTTACTTTTTTTTTAATTTATTTACCTTTGTTCCTTACATAACAGAATTACAGATTTGTTTTTTTCTTTACAGTTTTTATTTGAGTTAATATGTTTGTGTGAATATTTACTATGTAAATATTGCAGGTTTTTGAAAACAATGTTTCAATTATATATATGACAATTTTTCAAAATAATAGGCGTTAAAATGCAGTTTTTGTTAGTTAGGCTTTACAATTTCACGTTTGCAAATTAAATTCGGAGAGGTGTAAAAATAGAAATTCCATTGAAATGGCTTATTCAAAGGAAGTCGACGAACCCTAAAATATCCAAAAATAAACTCAAAACATTCCCAATAATAACAAATTCTAATTGAACAATAATATTTCATGCTTAGATACGTTACGGGGCTAGCACCACCAGCGCTCACGAGCAACAGATGCTATTCAAATAAAATACTGCTTATGAGTACTTTTGCTATTTGCGCTTTGTGATGGGCTTCTACGGAATCCTACATTACGCGTACCCCGACGCTCGACACGAATTCGACCAGTTTTTTAGATTGGGCTAAGTTTAAGTCAACGATTTATAAGGCGGTTGACAAAGAACAGAATGATAATACTCCAGACATACTAATTAATAATGAATATTTCCAATTCTCACACCAATTAAGCCCCATAGTAAGCAGTAAGGGCTTGTGTTATGGGATACTAGGTTTACGGATGGAATACATATACTGATACATATATGTATTCATATATTTAACAGTATATGTTTTCTATGTAATATGTAACTATGTTTATTGAGAAATACATATTAAACATTCATAACTAGAGTACAAATGCTCGTATTCATCACACAAAACTCTCGAGTAGGCTACTTCTTGAAACTTGGCGTACAACCCACTCGGCCACGGAGGCACGGTAATAATATCATACAGTATTCTATCTTCATACAAACGGTCGGAAAGCGAGTCATACCTACGCCACTCGAGTTCGATGTGCTCTCGGCGTGCACCCAGTCGCGAATGCGCCGCCGCGCCGCAACGACGACCGAACGGTCTAAATTGTTTTTTAAGCAGTTAGCCGTGCTTAAACATGCGTTTTGTATTGTAAATATTTGATTTAATTAAGTAGATACCTACATAATTTAGTATGGAAAAGAACAAACGACGATCAATATCGTACAACAGCACAATTGCTGTTTTTGGTTGCTTGAACTCTTCAATAACACACCCAGAGATATCATTTTTTAAATTACCTGAAATATTGGAAAGGTGTCTTACCTTTATAGAATATTTTTTATATACCTATCTACTAGTACGTTATTTGTTTCTAATATTTAGGTATTTCGGTTTTTCCATCGGGCAAAATATGAGAATCAGGAATAATATATAAATAAGTGGTTAGGATGAAAAAAGAGACAAACGAGTAATCTACCTACACTCGCGTTAAAAACAAAACTACATAAAATACTGTAGGCTGGCGGCCCTACCGCGTGCCAACACAGCGCTCGGTGTAGGCATTTATTTTCAAGGACAGGGCGGAGTCACAATACTGTATAGCTAATATTACCGTGACGGAGATCGTCAAATATTGTAGTTTGCTTATCGAAATAATAAACCACTTTTCTCGGCCGTTATTACTTTTTATTTTTTCTCAACGATCAAACATGGCATTTTAAATAATGAGGATGCATTGCAACCGATATTATTGTCTCTGCTTTGTGTTTTTTATTATTGACGTTAGACATTCCTGTTTGATCGTCGAGAAAAAATTAAATGAGCAACGAACAATAAAACTGATGAATTATTTCTATTATTATGCAATCTACAATATCTCGCGACTATTTCCATTCCGTTCTTTGTCATCGGTGAATATTTTAATGAGAATGTTGGATACTGACCGTGTAGTCGATGTTGGCATGCGTCCAGGTTTGCGGGGGGTCCTCCATAGACAGGATCATTGGCCGAGCGATGACATTGATGTACTTCAACACTTGCTGTTGCACCTCCTCCACTGAATGTATGTGAACGAAGTATCCTGCGTACACAAACATAACGTCATCATCAGCCTATTAATGTCCTCACTGCTGCGGAACAGGCCTTCCCTGTGGATGGAATAGGGAGATTGGGTCATGACCCACCACGCGCGCCCAGTGCGGATTCATGTGTGCTAGCAATTGCAGACGCAGCCGGGACTAACGACTTAACGTGCCTTCCGAAGCACGGAGGAGTTCGAGATAGTAATTGTTGGGTCACCCATCCAATGATTGACCACTGCGAAAGTTGCTTAACTTCAACGATCGCAGCGAATATGCTAGCCAATTTCGCTATCGAGCTCATATCAAATATTTATTTATGTCTGAAAAAAAAAACGTTTTCTGCAACAAGGCACACCAAATCATCCCACAAAGCATATTTCTTAATGTAAGTGGAGTTGAGTTGTGAAAATAGCTGACGCAACGAAAACGCGCCACTCCGGCCGTTCTCACCTTACCGGTCTGCACGACGATGGAACATTCAATTCAAAAAAAATTGACAAATGTCTACGACTTATTACTGGCTGCTTCAATAGTTATTGCCACATGATGTTACTGTAATTACATACTTAATGCCACGCTTAATGCATATTTTTTTCTGAAAATAGGAACATAGGACATTTTTTGAGTGCCAACAAACTTTTGCAGGAAAGCAAAAAATCATGTGTTTTCAAGATTTCCTTAAGCCTTACCAACCTATGAATCTAAAGCTCAATATGACTCTTGGAAAAGATTACCTACTGTCTATACTAAAAGTTTAAAAATATACTTTGATGCATGTTTTATAATACTCATGGCTGTGTGTGCTATATTGTGCGATTTGTAGATATAACGGTCTTTTGAACATGTTAATTCTCAAATGAAAAACACTACGTTTGCATTTTTGTATTTTGGGCTGCGGCACTTGCTAGGTTTTTTATTTGTGGATTGCGGATTAGTTCGTGCACTTACTCGGTTTTATGGTATCTCTATAATTAGGAATGGAGGCCTTTATTGAAAAGGGCACTTACTGTATTAAGAGAATAGTGTAAAAAGCTGGATTTCAAATAACTGAGTTTTGATTTGAACCGACTTCCATCCGGCACCTATTCTTGTACTGTGCTATTAACATAACATTAAGTAGAGGAATCTTACTTCAGATGAAAGCTTCCATTCCAGTGAGATCCGCAATGCCCTACATTTCCTAACCCACATCTTTCTACAGATTATAAGTATTATCTGCCTGATAAGTTCGCTACCAATTTGAGATGTTTGTTGTTTGCGGCCCAATTTAATCCGATGTTCCACGTCATGATTACGCTAATGGTTTTGATGTACTTATAATTAATAGAATTTGCCAGGCGTTGTCTGTATGATGAATATAATATTACGTGTCTAATACTTATTAAGAAAGGATATATCATGGTGTGCACTGCGTTATTAATCTTACATAGGTTCATCTTTTGTAAGGTTTGAAAAATTCAGCCATGACCGCTAAAACTAAAAAGATATTTTTATAAAAAGGGTTGAAAACAAGCTTATAGCTCACATGATAGTTATTGGACATAATGTATTTTTTTCTTCTTTTTTAATGAGATAACTCAATGTACATACGTTCCATAGCTCTATTAATAAACTACTTAGGAGAGTTAGATTTTATTACTCTTATCGCTCTATATCGATCAATTTTAGATTTTTTTCAATAGTTCCTACAAAAGATATCAATACCCTTAACGCTGGTAACTGAAAAACAAATCGATGAGGCAGTCTCCGTTATCAAGGTAGTGGGGCGCGAACAAAAACTTTATTCCGATAAAGCCCATTTGTTATTGGGGTGAAATCGTGCTCATTGGCTCTCCAGGAATAGGGAATTCTATAAGGAATTCCGTGAGCTGAGTGCCGATGTTATAGATCATATAGATGTTAATATTAAATTAAATAGGAAGAAAGTAGGTACTGAGACTTAATGTCACCTTTCGTAAGGATTTATTCCAAATGAAGATGTTATCTTGAATTATTTATTAAGATAACCCTTTATTCCACATGTCAAAAAAGTGAAACATAAATATTAAACCATAACATACTCGTACATTGGTTCAAAAAAGCTATAGCACAAATTTTAATCTTAGAAAGAAAGAAAATAAAGACCAAAACGCAGGTACCAGATAAACAACTCATCTCGAGACTTTGTAAACAATGTCTTCACTGTGTGAACAGCAATCGCTTCCAGGCAAAATTTGTTGCTGTAGTAAATTGTTATTTGCTTTTACTTTTAATAAAGGTTTTTATGCCAATATTTTTATTTGAAGACTAATAGATTTCGACAGGTTCTTACCATTCAAACTTAATATAAACTTTAATTACTAAAGACTTGAACGGCTCAATATCGTTAAATATTCTCACCTCTGTCCTCACATTATTTTGACCTCTATTACCTCTATTGCCGACAGTTATCCCGGTTATAAGACTCGAACACCTCCGTTGGGTTCCCGTAGGAACGTAGACCAAATAGATACTCAAACTTTGTTTACTAAAGACCTTAACGGATAAAACATTGTTAAAAAATCTTACCTCTGTTCAAACAAGTCATACTGTATCATGCGCTCGTTGGTGACCTTTTTGCCTATGAGGTAAGTAAAAACCGTTAGGGTGTTTACTGGGGTGTAGGTTTCATTGCTGATCGTTTACCCGTAATAAGTCTAGAACACCTTTGTCAGTTTGCCCGGGACGTAGTCCATGATACTTAAACTGTTATTACTGAAGAGTATAACGATAGAACATCATTAAAAAGTCTTACCTCTGTTTAAACAAGCCATCCACTGTATTTCGCGCACGTTGGTGACCTCTTTGCCTATTAGGTAAGTGAAGACCCTAACAGGAGTATAGGTCTCATTGCCGACAGTCTCCCTGTTGTAAGTCTCGAACACTTCTGTTAAGTTTCCCGGCACATAGTCCGTGATGACCATCACTAGCTGGTTGCAACCCTGCGTGCTGCTGACGCTGCAGTTCGTCCGTTTCTAAAACAATTTATCTCGTTGTTTATCGTATTAATATAAATATATATTTTTGAATAAAAAGCACTTTGTTCATGTGTCAGACTGGATGAATTTATACCGTTGCCTACACCACAGTATACCAAATCATTAATTCTGCCAAACTGTTTATGTTACTAATGTGGCTATACTCAGCTTCTTAGGACCTCTATATGAAATATAATATTAAGTACTAAAAATTTTAAATCAAACGAAAGTCAAACGCTATGCCATCATTTCGTAAATCTACAACGGGAGACGTTGTACTGAAAATAACCGGCAAGAAACTCAGCAAATGGCTTTTTCCCTGTTTTGAATATGGCCTTGTATCTTATGTGCGATTTTAATAAATAACTCTAAAGAAATTGATATTTAAATTGGAAACCTTTTTTGTTTGGTACTCTCTCTTATGGCAGTCCCCCGTCTTGGCAATATCATATTTAAAACTACAAAACTTTGACACTGAAAAAAAAATACACAGTGAATAATAATATACATGTATAAGTTGATTTTTGCTATATTATACGACTTGAGGGGGGAACGGTCGAACTTAGAACATAAGAGATGAGGTATCGCATGAGCCTCTATAGATGTTACATAAGTGAATATCGGTAATATTGTAGACAACATTTGACATAATTTAACCGAAACAATTACCCAGAATGGTGGTAGTTCGTAATTACTAATTGAGTGCAGCATGACCAAATCTTTAAATAAATGTACAAATTGAATAAAAGTGTCCGCGAACACTCACCGCTTTGAGTGTTGTAAAAGCTTTTATGTACGCTGCGGTCAGGTTGGCATTTCCCTCCAACTGCACTTTGTGTGTCTTCCCATTGTCAGTGGGCTCCAGTGTGTCCGTGATAGTCTTGAGATTTTCAGGTGTGGCTTGCACTAAGCCAACGAAACACTTCACTACTTCCGCAGCTTCATTTTTGAAATAATACACGTTGACGTAATCGTTGTTAGATAAAGTGTCCAGGAGCGATCTAAGCGTTCTCCTTGCAACGTAATTCTTGAATCCGGTCATTGATCCGGAAACATCAAACAGGATAATCACGTCCTTGGAACAGGTAGCCGCTTCTATGTACCAAGGACGAACCCGACAGTCGTACGTGTCCACTATCTTACGATTGTTCCAAGGCATTCCCGGGAAAAACCTCAGGATGCCGCGGGAGCTGCCGAAGTATTGCCACACCAATGACGGATCGGACTTATAGTTTTTGATAAATATATCGTTGAGACCTCTAGACCATAATATAGAATTAAGCGCTTCTTTTTCTGGAAAAGAATAGCATAAATAAAATAAATTTAAAAAAAAACAATTATCTAACAATAAACAATTACATCTAAAGAAAGCGCAAGAAACCCCGCCTGAAACCTGAACCGAGTGGATTAATTTCTAGTAAAATTTTCTTTAAATAAAAAAATGTAGCATTTTAATGTTTAAAAATAAAAATAAAATACTAGTTAAATGGCATCATTAATGTGTGAATGTGGAAATAAGTGTATTATGTATATACTGCAACCTTCAAAAAAATATCCTTGTCCAGAAAATCAAAGGCGCGGTAGCAAGAAACAGATAAATACATCACTCCCATAGCCACACCTCAATGACGTCACACTTTCCTAAGTGGGAGAGTAGGCTAGGCTTATAAGTTGTGAAACTGGAAAATGACTGGTTTTCATTTTAATATTCGTAGTACAACAATTTCCGTATTTAACCCAGTTGTTATAATATATCTTCACCAGCCCTCCCGTACTATCAATGTTATCTCTCATTATTTTATTAATAGTTTTTAACTTTAAAACATAAAATACTAGATGCCAAAATCCAATTAATCGTAAAATAACACAAATGAACATCAACTCGATCGATTTTATGATTTATAAATGGTTACTCAGTGTTATGAACTTCAAAACTAAAACACTGACCGTTGCCTTGTATTTTAGATTGACTCTATTATTATTTTTTTAATTTTAAACAATAATAAAAGCATTTGAAGCAAGAAATAGAACCCAATTGAGTTTAATATATTCAATGGGATATGGATTTCATAGACTGGACTAATTGATGCTGTATTTCATCTATACTAATATAAAGTCCTTCTTTAGATTTGATTGTTTGTTTGTATTGAATAGGCAAAGAAGCTTGCTGGACCGATTTGAAAAAATCTTTCACATTAAAAGAATCCTACATTATTATAGCTATTAACGGGATTATTACCATGTACCTTGTTTTTAATGAGTCAGTTACTCCGTGATCATGGCGCTTGCAACAGTGCCGAAATATCGGAGACTCATAAAAAACAAGGTACACGGTAACAATCCCGTTAATAGCTATAATGTTAGTGACCATGAAAGTTTAAAACAATAAATCCTACATTATCCTCAATGAACGTAAGCTTTAAATTTTTTTCAGAATAGTTAGGGTTCTGTATGAAAACTTCGCTAATACAGCTAACCCAACGTGTAAAAAAATACAAAAAATAACCTTATATCGCGTACGCTGCGAAATTAATTGACAAAAGAGCAAAGTGATGTACTAAAGTTTTATAGAGAACATTGTCGGAATTCTTCCTCTTTAAAAAAAAGTCCGCGACAGCATATGCCCATTTTTTAAGTTTGACTCACTAAACTTTTTCCTTAATTAACTCAGGTGAAACCGCAGGGGACCTCTAGCTGTGACGTAACTGTAATAGTTAGACATAAGGTATTTTGGACTTGTTTGTAGATATTATGTCCTCTATAAATAAATAAATATTTTCAACATTCACAAATTAGCCTAGCCTATTAATTCCAATTAGCCTAGCCCCAAAGTAAGCACTGTAAGGCTTGTGTTATGGTATACTAGGATAGCGAATAGAATACATATACTCTACATATATAAGTACGTTTATATAGAAATACATATTTAACATCCATGACTGGAGTACAAATGCTCGTATTCATCACACAAACATCTGCCCCCACCGGGATTCGAACCCGGGACCTCTCGAGTCGGCGACACCTTGAAACCCGGCGTTTAAACCACTCGGCCACGGAGGTCGTCATAAAACTTTACTACATCACTTTGCTCTTGTGTCAATGAATTTCGCAGCGTACGCCATATAACAAATGTAAATGTTAATTTTTTCCTGAAAAAAAATCTATACGGTTCAGGTATCAGAAAGGCCCTTAGAAGAAATTCGACACGAGCACGAAACGGCCATTAAGGTCTTACTAGGAATTTTATTTTATATTCATTATTTCTAGTTTCAGTGGCAAAGAAAGTCACGTTTTGTGAAAGATTTATTAATTATCTTTCTTACGGTTCATGAGTTATAAGTTCTCTGAAAGACTGACTGCCGAGACTTAATAATTTTCACCCTTTATTTTATTTATTGACTAACTTCTAATAATTACCTTTGTAGTAAATATTTGTGGGCACATGTACACAACTCATATTAGTATTAACATTAATATCGTAGAAATGTGTATCCCTCTCCAACTGAACCTCCATATAGTTGGTTCCGTTCTTCGCAAAATTTGGTATATTGGTGTCATCATCCTCATCTATGGCATCAGCTGGGTCTTCATAATGGAACTTGGAATACTTTGCCGAGCAGTATTTGAAATTATCATATTCATCCCTAGTTATTGTATAGTTAAACTCCTTAGCTAGTTGTTGCGCTGTAGCGTGAATGCACTGTAAATATTAATATTACAGCATTAACGTATAAAAACGAGTAGACTTACAATCTCGCTCAAAAAGTGTCGGAAGCAAAATTACGGATATTCGACTAGTGTGCGTAATTTTCAAACAGTCGTGTTCAAAAATTCTCGGTCGTATACAATTGATATTAAAACTTACTGCTACGATATAACGTATTAATTTGTTATCAGTACCACTAGCACGAACCATTATCGAATTCGTAACGTTTGCGAGTACGAATTGTCATTGTCAAATTTTGAATGGAAACTTAAACAGCAGCACCACAACGAACGTTACGAGAACTAAAACTCAGTACACATTTGGCAATGACATTTCGGACTCGCAAATTATTCGGATTCGATATTGGTTCGTGTTGGGGTACTGTTCGTGTTCGTGTTAGGGGTAAGTTGATGTAAAACGCCGCTCCGACGTTTTTTGATGCATTACGCGATTGAGAGTCTACTTATTATTACAGCAATTTTTTTATCGTTAATTTGGTGACTTAGTTTGTAAAAGACCTGTTTTATTAGACAAAGCAAGTATTCATATTTATTTAACGGTTTTTTGATGTAGAAAACTGTTAATTGATGACTAAACGCCGTTTAAACGTCATCAAAAGTATTTTTATTGAAATATTGGTGTGCATGGCTTGTTAATAATAAGGTTCTATAAAATATATCAACTTTTACGTTTCTTTCAATATTTTTGTTAGTCGCCCGCTGCAAATATTTTGATCTTACTTCCCTTTACACACACCTTACTGTTCAAAACAAACAAATTTTATCCACATAGTAAAAAAAAGTATGGGTAGCTATTGCAAAAGAAAATCAAATACCTTTTTATTGCTTTCTAGTTTCAATGGATAAACAAAGTATAGAATACACTATTCACAAATAAGATTGTGTCGCATTGTGAACTAACCTTGACTGCTTTGATTTTTTGTGTCAACATTGTGCTAACGGAACTTATCGATGAATTCAATATTTGCTCTCCATCTTTCCGCTTCACACTTGCATTCATCTTTTTATATTTCTGAAATAGAAAAGTTTATTTCTTTGACATAATTAAAACAAAATTAAATTAATTAAACAACATAATTTGAACTTTGCACAACGAAGGAGGCGTAATTGAATAAAATGTAACAGGACAATATTCTTACTTCTTTACATCTGCAAATACTTTTTACAATAAGTTTAGGTTAGTTTAGGTACTAAGTTTTTTTTATTATATTTTTATATCTAAAGCAAACGATTGAATAAGGTGAGAGGATGCTGCCTTACAGCCCTAGAAATATAAAAGGAAAAAGGAGATCGATAAATACATTAAGGTAACGAAAGACGCCGTTCGTGTCCAACTTGATACCTTGGCCAGGTTTATCTTTCTCTAGGATATTTCATTTAGATAAATAACAGCAATTAATCATAACATTTCTGTAAAAAAAATTATAAAAGCGATATGGCATTGACTGGGAAAGTTAGAAATTAGTTTTTAATTAAAAATCATTTTTATGCTCATGCTTACAATTAAGAGGAGTGACCAAAGTATGTTTCAGCAAGTTACCCGAAGTAATTTATACAAGGATGACGAAGTTGCAGGCATCAGTTGGTATATTTATATATCAATAATGATACGTACAAATCTAATCTGCTCCGATTTCGTCAGAGCTTCGCTGAGACCCCACAACTCCTGACCAAGTGTCCTCGCCCATGCTTTCACTCTGAAACAAAATACAGCAAGTAAGAATTCATATCATCATCATCAGCCTATTAATATCCCCTCTGCAGTGGCACACGACTCCTATGGATAGGGTGTGGAGACTAGACCGTGACCCACCACGCGGGCCCAGTGCGGATTGGTGGGTGCTAACGACTGCAGATGCAGCCGGGACTAATGGCTTAACGTGCCTTCCGAAGCACGGAGGACGATAATAAGTTTTTGGTCGCCCATCCAATGACCGACCATTGCGAAAGTTGCTTCATTTTAACGCTCTCAGGCTGAATGTGCTAACCACCTCCATCGAGCTCCTTACATATATTCTTGAATTGGTATTCATATACCTAATATGGAAAAAATTCAATTCAAGAATATTTTAGTTCAATGCGTTTTGACAGCAACCTTCTTTGTTAATACTTCGATGTAATGTATGATAAAATTATTCAAATGTATTTCACTTTGAAGGACGGTAGGAAAAGCTCAATGTCATGCAACATGAAGATGTTTGGATACAATATTATTTATATCTAGATATGAATCAATACAAAATAAACTTTATGAAGATTTGTGTAAAATACATCTCTTACAAGAAATTTGCATTTTGTCAGACTTATATTGTGAAGACATACATTCATTAAGGAATTATGAAAAATGGGTTCATTTAGTTCACTTTACAGAAACAATATCTTTTATATTGCTCCCTTAAACAACATGAAATGGCCCCAGAACCCATTTTACATTTTTGTACATTATAATAATTTAAAAATTCTTTTGTTGCAGAACTCTATTAAATGGACATCCTGCATTCAAAACCAGTATGCCTTGTGAACTATATTTCCGAACACATCTATCGGCCCACTTATATAGGGTCATAAGTTTCAACGGTAAGTAGCAAAAATATATGTTAGTTTGAGCAATAGTAACATATTTTTTTAAACCACTCGAAAGAGGTGGTTTATAAATCAACTTCAACTTAACATAACGTAACATTTATTTTACCTAAGGACCATCAAAATTTAAAATACTAGGTAGGCTTATAAATGTGTGTAGAAGTGCAGTTATTCCGAAATATAAGTACCTACCTGCTTACTACTACGTACACCTTAAAAAACAAAAGAAAAGCTTTAAATAATGGAATTCATAACTGAAATAATAACTCATACTTATCGATCTTTGATGTAAGAGGAACTTTAAAGCTATCCCTTATATTATATCTATACTTACTGTACTTAAGTTCCTGTATGGGAAGCTAACTACATCACGGCTGTTAGTATACAAAGATAAACTCACTAAATCATCTTCCGTGTCGAGCTACGCAAAAGTTATTAGCTTATTTGCCCATAGTCCGGGCGGAGGTCACGCCAGATAAATCAATAACCTTATTGCGAAAATAAAGGCATAAGTACTAAATATAGGAATCATCGTATAGATCAAAATAAAAACGCAAGCATATTTACTATTGTTAAATCTTACGAACCGCCTATAATACTAGACTGAACCGATTTAAAGTTATAGAAAATAATAATAGAAAAAATCCTTAAGTTCAGGCAGCAGAAAATTAAAATCTAGCAGTTACTTAAATGCTTAAAAATATAATAACCGATTTAAAACTGTTATCCGTGTCTTTTGACATTTATGGAAAAAATAATTCCTCAGAGATTCAAAGTACTTAGCTCGTAGTGCATTACCAGCGTTCAATTGGTTTGATGCAATACATTTATACTTACAGATTTTTACTAGAAATTTTCTCAGTTTTCGCTAGTTACAATGTAGCATTTTAACGCTTATAGAATGTCTATGTATAATTTAATATACTTAACAAACATTTTTGTTACGTAAGCGAGGATAAGGACCACTTATATGTTTTTACTTTTTTTTAATAACATTTCAATCGCGACTCAGAAATCCATACATGGTACATCTATTGCTACAGACAGAGGAAATTGGCATTAGTCTAAAATTTGTAAAATTGTGCCTTATTGGATAAGTACATTATTGTACTACTGATTAAGGTCGTAAATGCAGAAGTCTTGACAAATCAAGTAAGTTTTTTTTTATTTTAAGATTTTTTATATCACATTTTTACAATAAAAAAAGCTAAATTTTAAGTGTGTTGTATCAACGAATAGTAAACTTTAGAAAACCTCATACAGTCATGGTTCTAATTATTATATAAATAAAATGGAATCTGCAAAATGTATGTACGCACCAAGTTGTTTTTTTTTATTGTGTTCATTATTGAGATAAACTCACTAAATCATGTCATCATCAATCATCGTCATCATTTTAAATATTTTAAACTAATGCCAGGTTTGTATATGAGGAAAAAAACAACCATTTTTTTAAACACTAATTTTTTTTTTAAACCATAATATGAAAAGTGATTGATTTAATGAGACTGTGAGAGATCTTCCATATATTGACAAAATATCAGCGGGCATACATAGTTATAACGTGAAACCAGTTTTTCAGGAATTCTGAAATTAGACACAAAAAATGGCGGTACGAAGTTTGCCGGGACAGTTAGTATAGGTAATAATAAAGCACAGTTTAAACCCGTTTAAAAAGTGATTAATTTACTTTTCCGTATTATATTATGATTACGTGGAAGAGATGAAGCCATGTTGAAGGATACAATTTAAGATTCTAATCGTCTCCTTTCATAGTGCAATTGTATTCACCAACAATTCCACGGGCGTGGCTTTTACAGGGTTATAAAGCATGAAAGGTTTTTATTTATGATTCTCTTAAGATTCATCCATACAAAAGGATGGTAATCCTTAAATCATAATTAAATTACGTAGGAGGCAGTTCTATATTATGAGGTCATTGTATGAGATCATTAGTTGTAGAAACATTAAATAGACGTCAAAGAGGCGTGAATTATTTTCTTTATCCTACTAATCTAATATTATAAATGTGAAAGTTTGTACGTTTGTTACTCAATCACGCAAAAACAGCTGAATAGATTTGGGTGAAATTTGGGTTTATTACCTGGATTGAGACATAGAATATTATTATATCCCAAAAAAATGTGAGATAGGGGAATCTCATAATACTAAAGCTAACGCGGACGAAGTCGCGGGCGGCCGCTTGTTCAGTTGTAATTGATGCTCTTTTTCTTTGCACAACGATAAAATAACACGCTGCTTTGATAACACTTTTAGATCTCAATATCCAGCGCTGCTTAAAAATCGTAAATTCCTAAAGCATCCTGAATTCTGTCCATAATCATCATCAACTATAAACAACATCAACTCTAAACATAACTTCTAGATATGGAAATACATACGTAGTCAAAGGTCACGCTTTTTCCCAGATTTCAGGCAGAGACAAATTGATCTCCACTTGCCTCACTCCCGACACACCTCTTTCGCTTCCAACATTCATCTATCGTTATCTGTTTTTGTGAAGTTTTTTACAGATAATATTGAGTATCTCTATTAGCGAAATAGTAAGCACATTCGTTTTGAGATAACAGATCTTGAGCAACTTTCGCAGTCAACGGATGGGTGATCAAAAATTTAGTTTCGCCTTCCTGTTTCATTAACATTGCCTTTTTTTATGCGAGGCGCAGCAAATTTCCAAAATTTGCGAAGATAGATTTTGCGGCAGAAAGTATGCCGCTCCAGCCATCCTCACCTTGCCGGCCTGAACTCAATCCCTACCCCACGGAGCCCCAGAACCCTTCTCACTAGCAGAAACATAAGACTACCAAAAGGTAGCCTTATTTTACTGTGGTTTTCTGTAAGGCGGAGGTTGCTTCCCCTGCGGAAAATCTGCCCTACCTACCTCTCTTGAAAATCTTCGTTAAATCTGCAATCGTTGCTAGAATTGACAATTTTGTGATCTGTCTATGATTCTCAGCAGAAACGAATACATGATATTAACACAAAATAAAATTATTAAATAAATATAAATATATAAAATAATATAAAAATTCACAATTAATTGTGATGCACGATGTAATTCCAATGATCTGAAATTATTTCTAGAATACCTCTGTGTTAAAATCTTCAAACAAGTTCACTTTGTATAATTGTATATACAAAACACACCTATTCAATGATTGACTTTGTGGAAGTTCTTTAAATAAATATTGATCTGTTACCATCGTGAAAAATTTTTTTTTTAATACGAAATTGCTATTAGCTTTCTTCAAAATAGTTTTTTTACTGAAGTGTCACGTACCCAAAAGATTTTAATGCTTAAATTTCACACGATTTTCATTAAATTAATCATGGTTTGCTCCTCGAAAATCTCTACTTCATTTTCACGATACAGCATTTTTTCATTTAATAAATTATTAATTGTATCACTTGAGAAAAGCCATCCAATGACAATAATGTAATGTTGTTAATCGTATAGGATCGACCCAATTAAATTCATTGGATAAATTATATCAACAAATTTTACCTGAGTATTATTCAATTTGTTGGTTATCCAGCCAGACGTGTGACCATATTTTTTAAGTTGCGTAAACACTATTTCAAACAGGGAAGTAGTTATAAGTGTTATAGCACCTCAAAGTACAAAAAAAAACTATCTATATGTGTATTTGTGCTCAAAGAGACCTTTCCTGCTTTATAAACAAAAAAACGGGCGCTTTTTTCTTAAAGGAATTAATTTTATTACAATAAAAAAAGTTTTATTCACTTAATGATGTAATTTAACATGTTATTTAAAGTATCTTGGCACGAAAGCTTACGCCTAACATTTTAAATTAACAAAATAATAATTTATTACAAAATAGTGAAATTTTATTTTGGATCGTTTTCGTACTACAACGTACCGAACGGACAGATTAAGCTTAACAGATCATTAGTCAGATTGAAATCTATTAGTATCCAAAGTATTTTTTTTTTCATAGTGAGGAATCAAAAGTCATTTCCACATATCATACACCTAACAGTATCCCTAGCACGAACCATTATCGAATTCGAATAATTTGCGAGTGCGAAATGTCAATGTCTTTTGTATGTAAACTTGAACAGCAATGCCACA